CAGCCTTTTTGTCGTTGTTTTATCTCTAGAAACCATACATTGAAATGTCACTAAAGAATTTTTCAGAAGTAGCAGGACTATATATAATACCATTATACAATTAGAAGAGTAGCCTTACAGTATAGTTTGGAAAATTATATTGTTGAACACTGAACAACAATATTTTTTTTACCATTACAATTTAAATATTAAACAATATTAAGTTACTTTCAGTGATGCAATGATTCACATGCATCTAGTAAGGTAAAAAAACACTTTAATTTTTTCAAAATATACACTGCAGCATTGTCTGGAACGGTTCGAATCCTCTAAACGGCTCCTTTTTGAGAGATTACTCTGCTCTGATTGGTCAGATGGCCCAGTCTGCTGTGTCTGCTCTATAGCTTCAAGCACGTGTTGGATGCGAAACGGCGATTAGGGGTGTAAGAAAATATTGACACACTTAAATATCACAATAATATGTTTGCCAATACTGTACTGATTCTCAAAAACACTGTATTGATATTTAATTAATTATTTTGTTTACATCCTAGATTCATAAAGCAGTGGCTTCTAGATAGAAGTGTTGTTATTTCTAAACATAAACTGTGACAGAAAGAAGTAGCGTAAGTGTGCCCCGCTAACGATAGCATTAGCAAACCCAGCCCACCAATTCCACTATAAATAATGCACTAAGATACCTGAAAATACCCTGCCCTACCCATTACCTAATCTGATTTTCAACTCCAGAGGAGGGTTCCTCAGCACTTGTATACGCAGTGATATGAACAGTAACGATTGCATCGCTTTTATTGTATCAATTCAAGCACAAGGCCTCTCTGTCTTTGGAAGTGGATGCAAAGTGAATTTGTTTTCAGAGTCCTCTTTACATGTCAAGTCAGCAACATAAACCAAACGTTGTTTGTAGACGTTGTTCGCTGGCAGCAAATGAAGACCATCGGCTGGCATTATGCAAAGTTCTTACAAACTGATGTAGGTTCGTGCAGGAAGACTACGACTCGTTTCAGGCAGTTCCGAATCGGTTCTTTCTTTTTGGGAGACGATAACTCTATTTATTGTGCATGCTTTGCAGACCTTTTACATTCACAAGCAGCTATATAACACACTACATGAAAGGCAATATCCAAAAAAACAATTATGGATTACATACATATGAATTGTGGTTTATGCTAGCTTTAGCTGCTAATGCCATTTAAATGAGAATAAAAGCACAGAGTTTGTTGGAGGTACATGTGCTGTTTGAAATCGCCCCGTATTCCCTTTTTATACTATTACCCCACTAATATAGTACACTTGAAGGAGTGAATAAAAAACGAGTGAGCGAATTCGGACACTGAGTGTACCGGAAGGGCTGCTGATTTTGCATAGTTTGTGCTTTCTGGTTTATAATCATTTGAAAATTAGCAATCTGGCAGCTCCAATAGTCAAGTCAAGTCACCTTTATTTATATAGCGCTTTTTACAATACAGATTGTTTCAAAGCAGCTTTACAGCTTTCCAGAAGAAAATAGCATCACAGTCCTGTCCAGCTCAGTGTTAAGTTCAGTGATGTTTAATTTTTTTAGTTGTAAAAAGGTTATTAATTTTAGGGATGCACGATATATCGGCCACCATATCGGTATCGGCCGATACATGGTCAATTTTTATGTTATCATTATGTTCAGTGATGTTTAATTTTTGTTGTAAAAAGGTTATTAATTTTAGGGATGCACGATATATCGGCCACCAGATCGGTATCGGCCGATACATGGTCAATTTTTATGTTATCATTATGTTCAGTGATGTTTAATTTTTTTAGTTGTAAAAAGGTTATTAATTTTAGGGATGCACGATATATCGGCCACCAGATCGGTATCGGCCGATACATGGTAAATTTTTATGTTATCATTATGTTCAGTGATGTTTAATTTTTGTTGTAAAAAGGTTATTAATTTTAGGGATGCACGATATATCGGCCACCAGATCAGTATCGGCCGATACATGGTAAATTTTTATGTTATCATTATGTTCAGTGATGTTTAATTTTTGTTGTAAAAAGGTTATTAATTTTAGGGATGCACGATATATCGGCCACCATATCGGTATCGGCCGATACATGGTAAATTTTTATGTTATCATTATCGGCCGATATATTAAAGCCGGTAAATAATGGATTATTTCCTTCAGCTGAGACACTTTAGATGCACACTGTTCGCCATGATGGTTTTGAATTGCTTGAAATATGATAGGAATTACTTAAAAAAAGGTAAATACAGTTTAGTGCAACATATAGGCTACATAAAATTACAATGAGAACATTATAATTGTGTGCTTGGGACATGGCTTTAAATGGTGAGACTTTTGTTTTTGTAATCAGGCTCTCAAAAATTATGTAAAAATTTGGATTTAGATTTATCAGCCAATATATTGTTTATCGGCTTTCAAACATAAAGAATTATCGGTTATCGGTATCGGCCAAAATGTTCATATCGGTGCATCCCTAATTAATTTAGTTCCTTTATATATATATAGGCGCTCTGGAGAAAACCGTGATGTCATCGTCCAGCTCAGTTCAGTTTTCGTATAATGGTGTCTATGCAGGCAGATCAATAAGCAAGCCAAAAGCCAAAGGCGACAGTGGTAAGGAACCAAAAATCCATCAGGTGACAGAATGGAGAAAAAAACCTTGGGAGAAACCAGGCTCAGGTGGGGGGCCAGTTCTCTTCTGGCCAAAATAGTAAATACCTGTATGATATTATGCTGTACCCATATTGGACCAGCGGTTTGGAAAATGGATGGATGATTCAGCTGCGGGTGCCATCTTCTGGCGAGAAGCGGGAATTCATTCGGCGTGACCCTCTCAGTGCATTATGGGTGTTCTCTAGCCGTTTTGCGGACATTGGTTAACTTGTACATGCATTATTGTGTCGAATTGTGGAATTGAATGAGCGCCACTACCAATGGCTATCCCCTCAGATTACGGACGTGGCCGTTGTTTCCCCAGTATAGACAAACACTTCTTTTCTAATTGGAAAGTTCCATGTAAAAATGTTCAGAGGAAACTTGCACCTGCTTATTCGCTCAGGGATGATTAATTTGCTTGACTTTTCCAAACACTTGATTTTTTCGGTGTTCGATGATTAAGAGATTTAGAAGTTGAAGGCATGGCAGTGTAATTTCTTTAGATGGGCAAACAAAGGACAGTTAACTTCTGATTGAATGTGATTTTGTAGATTTTGTGGTCCTATCTACAGTGAAATGGCATTGGTCCAAAACCCTGGTCCTCAGTGGAGTTTCATTGGATTCATTTGTTAGAAAGTATTTATATCAATAACCTCATTCACAAAAGTGCACACACACCACCACCCTTCCTGTCATCTACTACTGTGTTGCTAGGGAAACTCTTCTGCACTCCTTCTGCAAAACAATGAAACTAGCAGGTCATGTTTCAGATTTCATTGAGAGGTGAAGATCTAAACAGGCTCTGTGCAGTCATGTGTTGTGTGAGTTTTGTCTCTCAGCGAAACAGAGGCATGACACCAGGATATTTTTAATTGAAGCCTCTGTGAGATGGAATACTGTACTGTACGCTCTGAAAACAAACATCTGTCACTTATTTAATTGTCCAATTTCCAGTCGGGATCATAATCGGATAAATGTTAGCTTTAATCAAGCTGTTTGAGTAAATTACATGGCTTTGCTCAGGTCACACCAAATTATCAATATCAATGGGTTGAAATATAGATTTTTTTTCGATTAACCTTCATTTTGAGTGATCCTGATATCAATTCTTAAAAAATAAATTCTGATGGATCATTTACTAAATCTGTCAGAGCAGTTATTGAATCGACAAGTTACTTTCAGTGATGGAATATTTTGATAAAATACATTTAATAGACAAATGTTTTGATTTTTACAAAACTACTATTCGATTTTTGAAAAAAGTCAGATATGCATTGCTCACAAAGGCTGCATTTATTTGATCACAAATAAAGTAAAAACAGTAATATGTGAAATATGTTTTGCAATTTAAAAATAACCTTTAACTTTAATATATTTCAAACTGTAATTTATTTACATTATGCTGATTTTGTACCCAAGAAACAATTCTTATTATTATCAACAGTTGTGCTGCTTAATATTTTTGTGGAAACTGATACACATGATGATATAATTTCTTAAATTTAAAAAAAAAAAAAAAATCTTTCTGACCCTGAAATTCTGGACAGTTGTGTTAATAGCTATTGCACTGCATAGTATTTTTTCATATTTTTATATTATTACCAAGTTAGAAAGCTCCCTGTATAATTTAAAGCATTGGCTGAGAGAATATTTATTCATATGCAAGCAAAATAAACATTATAATTGAAGTATGACATATCCGAACAATTCATATCCGAATTGAATCGAATTGAGAGTTTGTGAGTCCGAATCCAATCGAATCAGGAACCCAGTAGCAATAGCAGGCAATATGGGCAAATCGTGGCTTTGTGTGTGTGTGTGTGTGTGTGTTGCATAAAAGCAAAATTCTAATTAGGGACTGTTGATGCATCATGACCAATTAGTGCAACACAACTTTTCTCTTGATTAGTTAGTGATTTTGAATAATTTCTGGTTGACTTGTTCATTGTCTTTTGAGGGGAAAAAATTGTGAAAACAGCATAGCATGAAATATACATGACACTGTGCTTTGCATCTAGTAACATGCGTTTCACATACTCGTGTAAAGAACATCTTGTGCCTCGAACTGTTTTTCTACATCTGCAAGGAAATTGCCCTGAATAAATCAATACTTTTGTTTGCTTGATTAATTGTTCCGCAGTTAAGTGGTTGAAAGCAATGCTATGGGGTCAGTATGGCACAATTCTGGGCAGAATTCGTATTACAGCACAACCAGAGTTTGTTAGGATTTATAAGTGGATTTATTACATTTTATTTATAGTTTCTAGTATAACGTTCCTGTTAGGTCACATCACAAATGTACAGTTTCAGTGATTCCATCTCTTATCTGTTTGTCCATAGGCTTTGGATCAGGACAGAAACTCATTGCAGAAGGTTAAGAAGTCAGTCAAAGCCATTTATAACTCTGGCCAAGGTATGTACACAACCACGCACACACACAAATTCTGATTTGGTTAATGATTTAATACAAATAAACACACTTATTGAAATCATAGTGACTTATATTTTACAGGCAGTATCATGGATATGGTGGCGTGCAGTATTTTTTGTGATTGTAGATAAATCTGCTTGTAAGACTGTTAAAACAAATGGCTAGATCACAGTTAGCATGATCAACATGTTCCTGGCGGACACCACGCCAGCTAGTTTTATCCACCCCCACATACACCCACATACTTCTCTCACACACACATAATGTACTGATACTTGCTGCGTTCAGGTGTGTATATATACACGTACATATTACATAATAATATATATCAGGTGTGTATGGATATTTCTCTCTCTCGCTCTTTTTCCTCTCTCTCTCTCTCTCTCTCTCTCTCTCTCTCTCTCTCTCTCTCTCTCTCTCTCTCTCTCTCTCTCTCTCTCTCTCTCTCTCTCTCTCTCACACAACATAATTGATTCTATTTCAAATAAATGCTGCTATTTTTACTTTTTGTTCGTCCAAGAATCATATCATATAACCATTTATCATGGTTTCCACAAAAATATTAAGTAGCACAATTGTTGAGCACCAAATCAGTAATTAGAATAATTTCTGAAGGATCATGTGACACATTATGGAAAACAATTAAATCTATAACTGGTGAAAATAAATTAAAAAATAATAACAGTTTTCAACTATCCATAAATGGTACTCTTCTCACTGATCATGATAAAATTGCTAATTCTTTCAACGAGTATTTTGTTGTATCTGTTCAGAGGTTATCTTCTGGATTTATTGTTCCTCAGTTTCTCCCATCAGTACCGGCGGCATCTCAGCAATTCTCCTTTTCTGAAATTGCACAAAGCGATATAACTAACATTTTGGGTTCTTTGAATGCTTCTCATGCTTGTGATGCAAATAATTTAAATATGATTTTTCTTAAAACTCACGCTAGTACACTTATTCCGCTCCTCCATCATTTAGTTAATCTGTGTATTAGGCAATCAGTTTTTCCTGCCATGTGGAAAACAGCCCAGATCACCCCGATTCTTAAGTCTGAGGATCCAACTAATATCTCGAATTACCGCCCAATTGCAATTCTTCCAACTGTTTCTAAGTTACTTGAAAAAACATTATATAATCAATTAATTAATCACCTTGAATACAATAACCTGCTCAGTGATTGTCAGCATGGTTTTCGACCACTGCGGTCGACTATGTCGGCTTTGCTACTTTTTACTGAGCAGATACGGGCGTCTTTAAATAAAGGTCAGGTTACTGGAGTCATATACATAGACTTTCGAAAAGCCTTCGATACAGTCAATCATCAAATTTTGTTAAATAAACTTTTTTCTTTTCATTTGTCCTCCTCTGCAATAGATATGTTTAAATCATATTTAAGTGACAGATCTCAGACTGTAAGAATCGGCTCAGTAACATCACAGTCACGAGTGTGTTCTATGGGAGTTCCACAGGGCAGCATCTTAGGTCCTTTACTTTTCCTTATGTACATCAATGATCTTCCTAATGTGTTTGATGTTTCTAATACTTTATTATATGCTGATGACACTGTCATTTTTTTGTCTGGCTCAGATATTGATACAATTAATTACAAACTTAACTTAGACCTACAGCATTTACATGACTGGCTCCAGGATAACCATTTAACACTGAATACTAAGAAAACAGAATGTATGTATTTCTATTCATCTAGGAAACAATTGTCTATATCAAATTTCATTACCTTTTCGAATCAAAAACTTTCAATTGTATCCACGTATAAGTATTTGGGAGTCTCTCTTGACTCACATCTTACTTATCGTGACCATGTCCAAATTTTAATCAGAAAGTTACACCAAAAGTTATTTGTTTATAGTAAAATTAGACCATATCTACTGCATTCTGTTTCTAAAACATATCTTCATGCCATTATATTGTCCACTCTGTCGTATTGTTTACCTGTTTGGTCACTCACAACAAATGAGATCCTTGAACCTGTAGCGAGACTCTACAATAGAGCCTATAAGATCCACAACAGGCTTCCAGGCTGGACTCACCACTGTGTTGCACTATCTTTGAGTAATGCCTTGACATTTCAGAACTATAGAATGAGCCATGGTTTGAACCTTTTTTATCAGATCTTAAATGGTCATACTACTGCGGGATTGACTGCGCTGGCTCCTAAACTCAGTTCAAGGCTCGTATGCACTACGAGATCTGTTGCAAATGGACTTCTCCCTATACCGGCTTTTAGGAACTGCTATGGACAGAGATCTTTCTTTAATTTGCTCACTAGAGCCTGGAATGAGACTCCACAGCACATCAGATCTATAACATCAATAAGACTATTTAAACAAACTTGTGCTCGCCATCTGATGGACAGGTATATCTGTGACCACTGAGATGTCTTTATGGCCTCCTGCTGATGCTTGTTTACTGTTGTGGTTTGTGTGCTTGTTGTGTGTTTGTTATTGTATGGTCTTGGAGTTCTGTTGTGTTTGAGGTATTCATGTTCTGCAGAACAGGAACCTGCTGAAAATCAGTTTTATGCTGAGTCAGGCCCGATTGCTCTTAATCTTTTCCTGTTTAAATAAAGAAAGAAAGAAAAGAAAGAAAGAAAGACACTGAAGACTGGAGTAATGGCTGGTGAAAATTCAACTTTGCCATCACATGAATAAATAACATTTTAAAATATATTAAAGAGTAGAAAAGAGTTATTTATATTTTAATAATATTTCACAATATTACTGTTATTACTGTATTGTATTGTTCTGTATTACTGTATTTGATCAAATAAAGGCAGCCTTGGTGAGCATAAGAGACATCTTTCAAAAACAAACACATTTTTCAAATGTATTTTTAATGCATTAAATATGCCTTGTAATGCACCTTATAATGCATTGTATGGTCTCATGAATAATTTGTAATAACAGTTATAATACATTACAATACTTGCCAATTTATTAAACACACCTTTATAAAGTATACACATGACATTATTCCAATTTCAGATGTAACAAGGAATCTGGAAATATTAAAATGCATTTTAACTTTGGTTACAATTTATGAAAAGATATAATGCATTATAAAGGACATTATAAATACCTTTATAATGCATTATACATAAAGGCTTTTAAAATAAAAATCTTACTGATCCAAACTTTTGAACGGTAGTGTATATTACAATGTATTAATTTAGATTGTTATAGCACAATGCGATTTATTTGTCTGATTAATCTTGAAATACTTATGACAATAGAAAAGGCATATTTCTGATCTTGGTTACATAAGCAGAAAAGTTGATTCAGAGGTGCAGAAAGTTATTGCAGTTTAATGAAACTAAACATTCCTTGAATAAAAATGCACTGATAAATGATATCCATTAACACCAGGGAATTGTACCTAGGAATAAAATGATTTAATGCAGAACCAGACAACATGCTACCAACACCTGAGCGAGGATGTGTACTCTTCAGATGCCTGACATTCATAAACAATACCACATGATTGTGTTCATTTGTGTTCTTTTGTCAGATCACATTCAAAATGAGGAGATGTACGCCCAAGCGTTGGATAAGTTTGGCAGTAACTTCATCAGTCGGGATAATCCAGATCTGGGCACAGCCTTTGTTAAGTTCTCTACTCTGACTAAAGAGCTTTCCACCCTCCTCAAGAACCTGGTGAGTCTTCTACGTGAACAGATCCACAATGAATGGACATCCAAGACTTAATGCTCTTAAAAGCGGGTTTCTTTTCTATGATACTAACTAGATCATAGAAATAAAAAAAAAGATTGTTTTGGTTTATGTTGAAGCCCAATGTAGGGACAGATTTAAGGCTTTCCAGCATACTAGATCCCTTAGAGTGAATCAGCCTCTGGGAAAATAAAGAGCTTAAAGTGTGTGTCCTTCTACACAGGTTTTAGAGTTTTCTGCATTGGTGTCAGGCGGATGTGTTCAGAGATGTGTGAAATGTGTGAAAATTGTGTGTCTAGTGAATGTGTGTGAGTAAGAGGGGCTTTTGTAATCTATACTGATCTCTCCTCCTGGCAGAAACGTGGAGATAGAGCCATAAATTTCGAGTGTAGGAGTTGCAGTAGCTACAGCGTGTCTCCTTTTCACCCCTCACACGCACACAAACACACACATTCCTAAATCACTGTGTGAATGCTGGCGAGCTCTGCGGAAGGGAAGTCGTATCTGTGTGAGCGGAGGCTCAGTGTTCCAGCACTGCACAGCTGCTGGAAAAAGGAGAAAATTCATTATTTTCCATCTTAACATCAATTTTCATTTTCAACATACTTGTACTCGTAGGGCTGTATGATTAATCAAAATAAAACTGAAATCACGATATGGCTTATTGCGATTATTAAATCACAAAGGTTGTGATTTAATTAAATAAATGCGCTGCGTGTTTCAGAGTGAAGCACGGAACTGTGTTCTTTTAGATGAGTACAGCTCATGATACAGTGTTTTCACTGTTAGAAAATGAAGAAATTAAGACAGCCATAAATATTAGTATTGAAATGTTAGAGTTGTGGTTGTTATTATGAAATACTCCATTTTAATTTTACAGTTAAATACTGCAATATTAATATTTATTTTTGTTTAATATTTTTATTTAGTAGTAATAATAATAACTATGATTATTGTTATTTTAATATTTTTTCAGTCATACTGATATATAAACGCTTTTTTTTTGTGGGCCTGCAACCAAACACAGCAAACCTGAAGCTTTTTTTAAAATTGCATTTTAAATGTTTATTTGAAAAATCATGCAGCCCTGTTTATTTACATGATTGTATGGCAATAAAATAATATTGTACAATATATATAGTATACAATAAATGACTTTATAATAAAATGAAGTGAACATGTAATGTTGCATAACCCTAATGAAAATCATATTAAACAAGCTGGTTTTCAGCTGGTCTAGTTAAAGAGACCAAACTAACCTTTAATTATGGATTACTTTAATTATTTTGACCACCAGATGTACAGTAAAATAAAAAATGATTTTTTTAATGCAATTTCTTTCTTTTTTTACTCACTCTCTGTGTTAAAGGCACACTAAGTAAGAGTTTTAGATCAAAATATCCCAAAACCTCTAGAACAATGTTATATATTTTGTTGATTTGTGTACTTTATCCCAAATGTTTCTAAGAATGTTTAAATCCAGAGAAATAAGCAGTTTTAAAGAGGACACGGACCGAGTCTATCAATGACATCATACCCGTGTTACCCTCGATTTCTGGTTTTATTTTGTAGAAACCATGGAAACACGAAAGACGCTTTAATATAGATACTTGGCGTCTATGTATCTATACAATCTCCCCACACAAAATATCACGATACAGTGCTGTACCGATTTTTTTCCCCCCACTCCCTATATCGCCCACCTTGCTTTCTCATCATCATCAGCATCCAGCGTCAAAAAAATCCATATCTGTCGACCAATAAACAACCAATGAAATCATAATACATTAAGATAAAATACTGCAAAATGTCCTGTATTAGAAACTTTCCAAACCTCTGATAAAAGAGGCGTCTTATACCAAGCTACCACAGTGGTATCTTAGTAATTTGGTTAACTTTTGTACGGAACGTGTACATGATTTTCCACCAGTCCAGTGTACTAACGAACGGTTTCCTGTGTGTGTATTTTCGGTCTTGCTGTCATCCTCTCCTGACAACAGCATTAACATTTCCCTGATTCATTTCCTTTGGTTCCTGTGTCATCAGTATATCCTCTCCATTTCCACAACACCCTCCTGAGGACCATAGCCTCACTGGAACGCTGATGGACCAATACACACATAGCAGGTTATCAGCATTCACACTGCGTCTGCTAAGCCATGGAACTATTGGCATTGTGCTGTGTGGCTAATTGTTTTTTTCCTGCAACTGAGGCTTGAAATACTTAAAATAGTTCAGCTGTCAATAACTTATCTATATGAAACGGAGTTAAACTGCAGAATTCATTCTTTTGGTCTTCTGCTATCTCGTCTCTCTCTCAAAAGAGACACTTTGTTGTCTGGCTGCGGTGCTTTTAGACTGTTTTGGCACTAAGCTGAGGTATTTATCACTCTGAAACAAGGGCATCCATTTAGAGAATGAAGAATAGTGAGGAAGTGAACAGAAGTACTACGTTGTGGTGTATCTCCCAATCACAACTTGCCTCATTTATGAAAGCTTCACATTTGTATGAAATTAAGAAGAACTTCAATGAGGACTGCTCTTTGTTGGTTTGTTAACCAGCCTTTCTGTGGGGCAGTGTGTCTTTTATATTGGTGTTCATTTGCCACTAGCATTATCACCCAGATGAGCTATTCACCACATCAGATACTTGAGACACACAAACACACACACACACACACACACACACACACACACACACACACACACACACACAAAAGAAAAATACTCTGTTTAAACACATTTATCTCACTATCTGCACTCTTAACCTTAAACACGCATATCTCAGGTGACTTTAGAAATGTACTCTTTCCAACTTTTTATACCAACTTTTACTTTACACACTGGTGTTTTGAATTTTCATTTTATGATCCCCCCCCCCCCTCCCCCAATTGTGTTAATATGTTCCAGATAGCATTTTATGTTTCATTTAATATAAATAAAATAATAAATTGTCATCCAAGCATATGTCAAAAAGTGTCAACTTCTCATATACACAATATAGAGGGTATGCGCATGACGTCACCGTCGGCCGGAGTGAATGCGGTCACGCCCACAAGTGGCAAAAAGACTGAGCGGCAGCATTTGTTTTCAGCGTGAATGCCGTGAAAATCACACAAAACACATCTAAAACGGGAAAGAGCTTTGCGATTGACTGTACAACTAGATTTGACCAGAAATCTGAGGTACTGTATATTTTTACAGACTGCAAAAAGCTACAGAACAGACTATATTCTGCATAATTGGATGTTTTTAAATAAACACTGACAAAAAACTATACAAGTTTTAGGGCTGGACGATATGATGATATACAGTATAACATTAATGTAAGTGATCACTCGGATTTAGACCTATCTATATTGTATTTATATAAAACGTTTACAGGCAAATTGTCTTCATTTATTTCCCCGGCGTCGAAATCAGGCACATATAAATGTCAGGAAACACGATTCCTGGCTGCATGTCAATATCCATGGATCACTGGATCTTTGATAAGTTGTAAGGAACACTATATCGAGTCCAACTTTTAGTTTAAACTGATAATAGTTTGTTTTATTCGCGTTAACGCAGTTTCCCCTATTAACTCCAGTTACGCTGCAGCTCTTCTGCCACTCAGTCCCGCTGAGGGGGGCGTGTTCCGGCGGGGAAGTGACGTTAATGCATTCCCTCTATACTAGAGCAGTTTCAGCTTTTTTTATATTTGACATCTAATTTTGCCAATAATGAAAACAAAATAACATTTTCCATTTCTAACAGTTTTATTTTCTATGCCAGGTTTCAAAAGCGCTAAACAGTTCATCTTTTATACTCTATCAGGGGTATTCGATGAAGTTCCAAGAAGTCTGGTCTCTATATTTCCTTCAGAGTGGAGGTCCAGACAGTTTTTTGGAATATTCTAAATGTAATATATAAGTTTAATATTTAATGTAATATAGTTTTTAAATGATAAAAACTAAACAATCAAAATTGCGCCCTCAGAGCCAAAGCAGTGGCGTCTAAGAATAAAAAAAATAAAAAATAAAAATAATCAGTTTAGCTCAACTGGATATGAATATTAAAGAGTAAGATCAGATGTTTTATCAGGCTGTTATTATTATACCCATGAATGGCACTGAAGGCCATGTGACAAGGAAGGCCATGAAAGATACTGTATACACTAATAATTTGATTTATTTATACCTATTATAACATTGTTTATTATGAAATGCTCTTAATGTGCTGATTATTAATAATGCTAAATGTAGATGGAAAAAAGCATCTAGTCAAAAACCTTGTTTTTTTTTTTTATGGATGGATGGAGTTACAGTATATTAGCCTATATATGAAGGGAAAAGGCTGTTCTATTTATTTTGCTGCTTACGGTGTTTCTGGCTCTTTAGCTGGAGAGAGAAGCAAGGCGCACATCAGAAAAGAAAGGGCTAGAATGAAGCAGGTTTGGCTCTAGATAAAAAAATATAAAATAGGATATAACAGCAAAAGGTCATTACTTTAAAACGAACCTGAGCGTTAGCGCTTGTGGTGTGAACAGCCTCGTTGTTTTGACACGCTTCAGTTCACACTTTAAACAGTAGAAAAGTTAAAATAGTGCGCTGTCATGATGTCTCGGTTGGAACCAAGCCAGGGTCCGGAACTGCGGTCTGCTGTTTGAGGATCCCTGCTTTATATTATAATGTTTTACTGTCTGTTGAATGCTATTTGTTTAAAAACAGACAAAATGATGTAGATTTATAATAGTGATTGTCGTTAAGGTTGTCAGCCATAATATAAACAATTGTCGTGAATCAATATCAGGCCAATTTCTTAGGGATGCACAATATATCAGTTATCCGCTTTCGATCGTCTTTCTTTCTTGGTCCTTAATCTATCACTATTATCACTATATTAAGCTCTTATAAGACAGTGTAGTACGTCAGTGGGTCTCATCTTGTTACTTGAATCCAAACTATCGGGCCTCTTGGGTCTGAAACATTAATGTTGATTAATTTAAAAGATCTGTCTCGGAGTATCGGATGACAATGCTGGTCTGCTCATCCTGATACGGTTCCATCTCTCTCTCAACAGGCTCTTTGTGTGGATGGCTGTATTTGATATGTTTTCTCTTATTTCTTCTGTGCTGTGCTTATGCTGTGCTAAGTGTCATGTATCGTATTAACACAGTCTCTGCTCTGTTTCACCGTCTCTTCCTGCAGCTCCAGAATCTGAGTCATAATGTGATCTTCACTCTGGACTCTCTGTTGAAAGGCGACCTGAAAGGCGTGAAGGGGGTGAGAAATATTTATTTCAGACCATGTCTCATAGAACGTCAGACCTGCAGAGTCTAAATACAAATGGAGATGCATAACAACTCTTCTCGTCCACCAATTGCACTTGGATACCAACCCAGAAACATAAATAACATCTTAAAAGAAGATGTTGTAGACCTGTAGAAGTACCTGAGCTCTGTTCTAGTAAATAGTTTTATTACATCACAAACTACACTAGCCCACTGCAGTTCTTATGTAGTGAACTTAAACTGAGAGTGGTTTAAGTGTAGCTATTTTTGATGTCTTGTCTATCAGAAGATCAGACATCTGTCTACTGCACCAGTAGCCAATCAGAACCCACTAAGGGATCTGTCAGTTACTTAGCTTTAAGTTTTAGATATTTTGTCAAAACAATTATGTAATGAGGCTGTTGTGGTCCTAATGTGCTGTTTACCTCAGTGCTGGAAAGATAACCCTAAGGCCGGAGACACACTGGCTGCGTGGCGTGAGCGTGGCGTTTTTGTTGCGTGTCAGCTGCGTGGCGGCTGCGTCGCGTTTTCTGTGTCTTTGCACACCAGAAACGTGTCTGACGCGTCGCTGCTGCTGCTAGGTGACGTACAGGGAGGACGTATTGTGGAAGCCCTATACTTCATGTTAAGCATAAATATAAAGCCTACTGATAAAGACACTGTCAGCAGTATTGACAGCAAAATAGGGCATAATATTTCGTTCTGTATTGACAGGTGCAATATTTGAAAATTGATCATTATTTATTTTTAAATTATATGTATATCTGAATTTATGTCAAAACCTAGACTTTCAACCATCAAAATGTAATTTATTAATATGTATTCGTGTACAAAATAACATATAAACATCTTTTCCTATTCTATTTTGCCTGGAAACGCTTCCAACACGCTTGTGTGTCGCGTGAAAAATAGGCGTCGGTTCTATTTCTAGCATGCACGCGTTTTCCGCACGGCTCGAGCCGCGCGTGTCACGCAGGCAGTCTGCAAGCTCTAACCTGTTAACATGGGAGCCGAAATAAAAACGGACACGCCACGCAGCTGAGACGCTTACGCCACGCAGCCAGTGTGTCTCCGGCCTAACCCTAACCCTTCAACACTGATGCAGATGGATTAGAGCACTACCTAGTCTTTGACATCTACTTTGTTGTGAACATGAGGCACTCTAACAACTGCACTTGGCTCATTAGGTTTTTTTCTTCTTTTCTTTCCTTTTTTGTTTTCAGGACCTGAAAAAACCCTTTGACAAGGCTTGGAAGGACTACGAAACGAAGTTGTAAGTTTGCTCAATGAACGTTAGCTAAGTCAATGGTTTTCAATCCTAGTCCTGGGGACCAACCACTGTGTATTTATCTCAAACACCAGCTGTGTCTCATTTCGAAGGTTGCATCCTAGGTAGGACACATTATCTGTAGGGTGACATATGCGAAGTGTCCTCAACCTACAGTACAGTAGAATTAAACGAGCTGGCCTTCGTAGGACATACGTGTGGAAAGGGAAACTGAAAACCTCAGTGTACAACATCACTACTGGTATTTACTGAACAAAAGCATAACTGATACCTTTCTGACATCATTTTTGAATGCTATTTAAATTATGATAAATACTTTGCTTGTTTGTTATATATACATGCAACATTTCTGCCGTAAATAAATTATAATTATTTGCTAGATTGTTCAAGTCAAGTCAAGTCATCTTCATTTATATAGCGCTTTTAACAATGGATTGTTTCAAAGCAGCTTTACAGAGATAAACATATAATTTAAGGTAACAGAGATTGTTTTGGTTTTATAGCGGTTCTTGAATAATGTTATTTCCAGCTAAAGTTAATTTTGATTGATTCACCTCCGTCGAAATGATCAGACTTTAAACGCGAACCTGTGATTAAAGCTGACGGCGTTGACATGCACATTCAGAATTGATTCTATAGTTATGTGCTTTTGAAAATATGTGCGCAGGTTTGTAATTCCATACAACCCATGCCTAAACAAACTACTTGTCTTGCCTATAAATTTTGATACAGAATTTTGTTTTATTTGATCACTTCGGGGTACGCGGAACCGAAATTCACAACGCTTTATCTGTAGAGTGGGAAAGTTCATTACTAGTGATGTATGTTTAAGCTGAAATATAATTAAATAATGGTTTGTATTTTAAAGAACATCTATCGTGTGTCATTGTGTGTAGAGAGTTGGCTCATGTGATTTATGTTTCGAACTTCAGAACTTCCGTTAATTTTCAGTGCACTGGAATGATTTTGCGATCGAGACAGCACTTAAAATGGCCGACTCCCTGATGGCCAACGCCCTGATTACTGAACTAGGGAACTGATTGAGACGCACCCAGGATCAGGATTGAAAACCACCGAGCTAGTGTGTCTTTATACACTTTTGTCCATTCAGACCCATTACTTTGTCTGTGGGCTGTTGCAATTATCAGTAATTTAACTGCATCATCAAAAAGCATGAGCGAGATCATTTTCTCCCCCGCAGGTGTGAGATTAATGTGAAATAAACACAGTACTCTTATTGCCAGCCAACTCAGATGAATTTGTGCTAAATATAGAAATTTCTTTCAATCTTTCAGTACAAAAATCGAGAAGGAAAAACGTGAGCACGCCAAGCAGCACGGGATGATCCGAACAGAGATCACTGGTGCTGAGATCGCAGAGGAGATGGAGAAAGAACGGAGGCTCTTCCAACTACAGATGTGTGAGGTCTGTAGTGCGCTCCACTTGTCCTTTTTTTACCAGAAACATGCTATACATGCCATATCATATTCGGAATATAAACTTAATATATAAATGAATATTCTGTTCATTTTTTAATGGTAATAGATACAGACAGTTGTGAAAAGTCAAGCTATTCAAGAAACACAATTTCGGACACTTAACATACTGTATAATTTTGGTCTGGATTAATGTTACTAAAATGCAGCATATTAAATGGCATGTGAGCATCTTCAGTATTTCCAGAAGAGAATAGTAGGAAAATAATCTTCCTGTTTTTTTTGTTTGTTTGTTTTTTCTCCAGATTATTCTGATAATTTTCCTGATTATTCAGAATCCAGATTATTCTGATAGCCTATATTGGAATATTTTAATAGTTGTGGTGTTTTTAAATATCTTTTCCAGATTAAAGGCTTACGAATTGCATGTACAAGCCATGGTCAGTGATATTTTCTACTAGTGCTCCCACAACCCCAAACACTTTTCATCAGCATGAGACCACAGGTTTTGTTAATGATATTAACATTCATAAAACCACAGATGCAGCCAATCAGAGCCCTTAAATGGATCTTTGACTGTTACTGGTTGCTGTATTAGTAGTCACATCACTAGCTGTTGTGATTGGTTTTCCTAATATAAATCAGGAGTTTGTAATGCTGCCATTTTAGTGAAAACGGGCTGTTTGTCTTTCAGTTTAATGATTCCCTCAGCATTTGAGCAGATGACTCAGACTGTGATAGCTTGTTTTATGGATTCATAATCATCAATGCTGTTTTTGTTCATTAGGGAGGATAGCTGTGGGTTATTTAACATGTTAATGAATTGGGTTTGTCATTTAGAATTGCATCTTGAATCCATTTAATTGTGCATCAAGGGTTTGTTAGGTTGCTTTTTAAATGCTCCTGGACCAAATCACATGATACAATCTACTACTTTTATTCAATTACCCATTTTACCTTATAATTAAGCACTAATGTAAAAGAGGCATTTGCATATTACTGAAAATCAATGACATAATTTATGATTGTCCTGACTTTTTCATAATTTTGCAGTCTTTTGTTTTTGGTTGTTTCCTGTTGTCCTTTCTTGGTGGTTACAAATGAAAATCCAAATATGAGAGCAATGAATAATTCAATATGCAGTGAGATGACTCATTCAGATACAGGAAGCATCAAAGGAAATAGCAAACTCATGACAACTCTAGCAAACACATACAGATCCCTACTACGTGTGTTATATACATATATAACAAAGAGAAGCACACACACACTCTAATTTAATTAGGAAACCGTTCATACTGTTGTATGACTCACATTGTGTATGAAATAACTGTGACTCAAAGGTTGTGCACAAATAAAATCACTCACTCTAAAATGAGCGGAATGTGTGGCATTTCATCCCATGATATATTCAGACATGCAAGGGGCCGAACAGGACGGATTAAGTTTCTGAGCATAGCCAAAAAATTGTTAGCTGGCATGACTTTGCAAAATGTTCTGGAATTTACCCCTCTGGGATAAACCGGGATTACGAGGATGTTTAATTCATTTGTTTTGTGGGATTGGTTTGTCACTGTATGTTCGTTTCAGATTTAGAAGATAAGATTTTTGTCCCTTTTTAGTTGCTACTGAAATAAGAACAGTTATGCATAATCGTTCAATCAAATATTTACATCTAAATGTGCCCCCAGAATGACGCTTGTAGATTTGTCATGTATTTCAAATAATATTTCAAATCACTTAAGCGTTCAAAATCCTTGAATATCTGTTGGTTCTACTTTTGGGATACTGAACTGTGTTGTTATCAAATTCTGTCTGTTTCTGCAGTACCTGATCAAAGTGAATGAAATAAAGACCAAAAAAGGGGTTGACCTTCTTCAGAACTTGATCAAGTATTACCACGCGCAGTGCAAGTAAGTGACATTTTTGCGTTCAGATGTGTTTTTCCTTGACAGATATTTGCAATATCAGTATACTAAATAAGTAGTCCAAAAAATCCCTTAAGTCCGTACATCATACATTTAGTTTGTAGAACTGTCACTATAAATATGTACGGGACATGTGAGGAAATTGTTAACCGAAAGTGTTTTTGATCCATGTAGCCTTGCAAGTGTCACTGACCTGAAGGTCTGGAAAAAAGTTATGATCTGAAAGAAAGAACTGAAAGTGTTGCACTTTTTTCCCTCTCACTCTAAAGGTTAAGGTTATTCTGAGCTATTGTTGTCTTTGACCTATAGATGCATCAGAAGAAACCTGCGAGAAACCTTTACCTTGCACTTCAAGACTTTCATGGGTCATTATTAAGACGAAGTTAATGTTTGCGATTTACGTAAATGTTTTTATTGCTGTAAATTTTAATGCTGTTTTAACAGTTTCACTGTGTTCTATGTGGTTTCTAAGAAAACTTATCAGAAGCACTAACGTCTCTAGTGGAGCACCCGTTTATCAGTAAATTAAGGGAAAGGACCTTTTAATAAATAATTAACTTTTAAAAAAAGTTCTATTTTCTTTTAAAAGTAACCGAATGTGTCAAACAAAAAACATTTTTTTTTTGTTACACTTTATTTTGATGGTTCACTAAAGACATTCTACTAACTATAAGTAACTTTGCAACTACATGTCAACTAACTCTCATTAGAGTATTAGTAGACTGTTAGGTTAGGGTTGGGTTAGGTATAAGGGTTAGTAGAAAAAGTTGACATGACATGCAAAGTTACCTAGTCAGTAAAATTTCTGTTGGGGGACAATCAAAATAAAGTGTTAGCAGATATTAGTCAGACAGTTTACTAATACTCTAATGACTGCTATTTGAGTAGTTGCAAAGTTACTTTTAGTTAGTAGAATGTCTAAAGTGGACTGTCGAGTGTTACCTTTGTTTTTTTAACTTAATTTTAGATTTTAGCTTTTTAATGAAGTAATAGCGAAGGCATTATGCATACTTTGCTTAGTTCTCTACACTTCTTTATTACTTTGATAAAATACCCCAAGGTCCCTTAAATGCAGAATCATGCTCAAATCTCATACATAAACATCAGATGGGTCTTGATAGCAGAACGTGTGGCCGCAGTGTCTGAACCAATGACTCATCCAATTTGACTCACACTCTTGGCAGTTTGTTAGTGTTGGCACTATATTAGTCACTTGCCAATATCTAAAACTGGACATTTCCACCACAGTTACTCAAAAACGGCATGTTTTTGCTTATTTCAAAGCATTGGATATTTCAAAGTTACTTTCACTAATTAACTCCATCTCTCCTTGATGTTTGCAAGTTTCTGTGTTGTATAGACTGTGAAATTGTCTATAATTTCCCCTGACTGTATTGCCAGAATATGTATTGTCTTTAATGATAGCTGGTTGCAATATAAAAAATTTGTTAATTCTGTTGTTTTTTTTATCAGCTTTTTCCAAGATGGCTTGAAGACAGCAGATAAGCTGAAGCAGTACATCGAGAAATTAGCAGCTGATCTTTACAACGTATGTACCTCACCTTACTTTATCCTAAAACTATTTGATTGGGTAAAAAACATTTTAGCTTGGTTTGTTATGGATGGGATCTGGCAATACAATATCTGGGTCACATTGTGATATTTTTTTTTTATGTGTAGTAATATAAAACTATATTGCAATCGTATACTCACTTGTTTCTCTTATAGTGCTTTGCACAGTTATATATTTTTTCCCTAAGATTGTTGCTCAAATAAAAATAATTATGCATTGACTAATATTTACCATGTTTTACCTTGCTGGACTTATAAAATTATAATAATAATAATAATAAAAATTGATTCTTGGCATGAGAATATTAAAACTGTTTTATGAGGTAAAATAATTCAGTACTTTACAATATCATTGTTTTTCCTGCAACCATAATGGTGTGTGGGTACGTGTGTAACAAGTTATTTTTTACTTTTGTGTGATTTAGATAAAACAAACACAAGATGAAGAGAAAAAGCAGCTCACTGCACTAAGGGATCTCATTAAATCCTCTCTACAGCTGGAACAAAAGGAGGTAGGTGTATGGTGTGGTGTGGTGTGCCTCAGGTGTCTATCTTAGGACCAAGGCAAATTCTCAATTAATTGCCCAAACTAGTTTGTGAAAGCCAACCAAGTGACTTGTTGACAAGTAAACAGTTTCAAAAGTGATGATTACATTTACATATGGTTTGCCAGAGTGTATATACTTCATATTTAGAATAATGTACACATATAGTGTTATAGTTAATTGTATAATGGCATGACACCATACAGAATGAAATATGATGGGTTGAATCTTGCAGTACATCTGTGGGTCTAATATACTATAACCCTCCCTAATGCTCGACCTGTACAGGGGAGAGTGTGAGAGGGAGTACCCAGTGCTGTACCATGCTGGTAGCCAGTATGAAATGGGGCTTGCTGGTAACCAGTGTTGTGCCCCACTGGTTGCTCAGAGAAGTGGTGCTGACTCTATCATGTTTAATAAATGACATTTAAAATAAATTACAATTAATAGGTAGTTAGCTAATGAATAATTGTTGTTAACACATTGTCATGACAGCAAATGTGCATGTAATTACGGTAACATGGTAGGAGTTTACATGTCATAGGAGCAGCTAATTTGTAAGTTAGCATTACTTTAGTGTATTTACGATTCAGTAGTACCGACACATGCTTTTCACACCCTCTCCTGTTTCTCTCTCAACCGCTTCCTGTGTGGATTGAAGTCTAGAAGAGTAAGTGTTCAGCATGTACAGCATGACGTGTGTTTGTGATGGAGATCATTGTGTGCGTGCAAATTAAATAAGTGGTTGTCAGATAAAGCTGATGTTTTTAAAAGGTTGCAAATCTGGTGAAAAATATTTAAGATCTGTTCACATCTTTTAAAAAAATGCTGTTTATACAGAATCTGTTTGGATTGGTGTCTGCATATAGCTATTTAAAGCACGTGTGTGTGTGTGTGTTTGTACTCGAGCAGGACTCTCAGAGCAAGCAGGGTGGCTACAGTATGCACCAGCTGCAGGGAAACAAAGAGTTTGGCTGTGAGAAGAAAGGCTATCTAATGAAGAAGAGTGATGGGTACACACACACACCCCCTCAATTATATGAGTTTTTTGATCGATATGAGCTCCTGCTGTCTGCTATAAGTAGTGTCAAGACGTATAATTGTGTTGTAGGTTGAGGAAGGTGTGGCAGAGGAGGAAGTGCTCAGTTAAAGGAGGAATTCTCACCATCTCTCATGCCACTGTGAGTAACTCAGACACATGTGATTTACTCTGTTCACTATAAACCATGTCATCCTATAATCAGCCTATTAAACAGAGGTCTAACATTTACAGTGAAAAGACTTCATCAGCTTTCTGAACTTTTGCTGAATGTTTCCATAACAACCCAGATATCCCGCTGTCCCTCTTTAACAGCCCACTGGGAAAATGAGCAACTGAGTGTTGACCACTTTATCAAATTTACTATCTTACTATCATATCATCCTTTTCATTCACTTCATGTCAAATGTGGTGTGCTAAGGCTTTTACTGCATTCTAAACATCAATGTCTTGGACACAGTACCAGTTAGATTATCGAAATTTTGGCTACATTTCTCAGACAATAAAAGTGCATTGACAGTAGTGTAGTAATACATGAAGCACAGCTCACAGTCACTTTCAAACCAAGGAGCTTTCTTTTGTTCAACTAGCAAATTTGCGTTACCAAAACTGTGTGGGGAACTTTTTCGCCCTTACGTGAAACTCCCTTTCGCAGGGATTCCTATTGAAATGAGTGGATTTTGCCTGCAAAATTTCACAGAGCAACTGTAAATATGACCACAATTTAACTGAACAAGCAGCATCTCTTTCTCAGTCTAAGGTCATGCACTCACCCTTCGCATCGTACTGTATGTCATCAATTTTCTTTTCCCACATGATGTTTTATTCACTCATGATGCCCTGTGTCTCACATTTCATAATCAAATCAAGACATATGCATAACAGTCTGTCTGTACTGGACTCGGTCAGTGTAATGTAACACATATGCATTGCGTTTTTTCGACACTTTTGTTCAGTCAGTAGCCAGTATGCACAACTCTGTGCGATTGAGCCTGTATCAGGTTTCCTATAGTTTAATGACAAACCAAGTTATGTCCAAATTTTTTTTATTATTTTTTTTATAAATCTTTGCACTTAGTATATGTGGTACGAGATGCCGCAAAACATGAGACTGCCTAAGATATCCATCTAGCACATGTGTACATAGACCAGTAATGCAAAAAAAAAAAAAAAAAAAAATAGTGCAGATGGTGTGCAGAAACACTTTCTGTTCTGAATGTACCCCAGACAGACTGACAAACTTGATTGTAAAACTTCTTTGGGCTGCAGACCCAAAGTAGCTTGTCAGTTAAAACCTTTTTGATGCTGTTTGGAAGTTATAGCAGGAATATGAAGTAGTCAAACATGCATTTCTCCTTTTGTCACTTTTTGTTTCAGTCAAACAGGCAGCCTGTCAAACTCAACCTGCTCACATGTCAGGTCAAGCCCAGCGGTGAGGACAGGAAGTGCTTCGATCTCATTTCCCGTGAGTCAAGAAGAGATTCTTGTGGAAAACCACGAGTGATTTGGCAGCTTACAATAATGTGTTTGTTTACTTTACCATACCGAATCTTGGAAGAAAATCGTCAAACTCATTTTTAAATAGTTGTGTAATTGTACCATTATTGTGAATTATGACTCTAATACTATCTTCTGGTGTTTAATTAGTGGAAGTCTCTTCATGCAAACGGCTCATATTTTACTTGTCATATGTTTCAGATAACCGCACATATCACTTCCAGGCTGAAGATGAGCAGGAATTTCTGATGTAAGATTTTTTTTTGTGTGTGTGGGATTTTCAACATTTTGCATTTCAAGTATGCAAACCCTCTAATCTAACTTCTCTGTGAATGCAGTTATGTCTAAGAAATGGTTTATATGCCGATTATGGTGTTTCCTCCTCTGCAATTTAACAGTTATAGCAATCTGCCTGGAACTGAATGCCTCTTTTCTTTTTTTATGACTAATTTTGACTACTTTTATGGCAAATATGGCAAGTAATTGTAGTAAGTTTATTAAGATTTTAACTCTCACCTAAATATTTTACTTTATGGGCATTGTGCGGCGAGAAGTCTGTGAAGTGGCGTTTGCTTGTCTGAAGTTGCCACTTACTCATTGGGGTCACTGACACCACAATGACTTTTTTCCAGACTCCTTTAGATACAAACATTCTCACAAAAAGCAAAACATGCACCATCTCATAACGTCTCTGAGTATTTTCAACTGCTGGCTTTGCTTCATACCCACACTGCTGTGAACTCCCTCATGGAGCCATTTAACAACCATTATATATGACTCTTAAAAGGCATTGATCAGAATGAGGCCCTATAACCCCTTTATATGTCAGTTCTGCAGTCATTTCACCTCAGCTTTGACTGGAATCTTTTTTAACCCTTATATTATGTTTGATTTCTGGGTACAACTTGTATGGAGCCGGTCAAAGAGATCCACATTGCATTCAATACAATTTCCCAAAAATCACACTATGAAAAACAACAAAGAATCACTTGCAAACAGTAAACTTTTAATAGAACATCACACATTTCAAAAAATAAATATCAGAACTTATGATTTAGAAGAAAAAAAAAAAATGTAACCACTATTTTTAAAACTGTCACCTGACTAATACTATTATTTGTATCATTACTGAAAAATTCTGGGAAAAGCAATTTTTTTTTACCTTCACAGTGTCATAAGAAACCAACATAAATTTTATTCCATGCTGTATGTCAGGGCTCTTCAACTCCGGTCCTGGTGGGCTTTAGTACCAACCTCAATTTAACATACTCATCTACAATTTGTAAGTAATTCTGCACACCGTGCTTAGCTTATTCAAGTGTTTGGTTAAGGTTAGAGCTAAACTCTGCAAGACAGGACTGGAGTTGAAGAGCCATGACATACATCAAAGAAATCTTTTAATTTTGGGTCTGTACAGCTGCCTTAGAACAGCTGCCGATGCTGGTCATCAGATTTTTCTTTTTTCCTAAGTCTTTTTCAGTACTAAAAAGTGTGGAAAGGCTTTCACAGGGTAGTAAAAAAACAAAACATACCAACATAAAACCAGGAAATGTTTTTATTGTGGGTCTGTTACAGTTGCCTTGGCACATATAAATTGACCCGCAAACATCAAAATCATAATAGAAATTGTGTACACTTTAAAACACATCAGTGTATCCTCACTTTGCATGCATGTTCTTGACACTAAATAAGAAAAAGTCACAATATGTCAAGAAAAAAAATATTTTACATTGTATTTCAGACAACTCAAAAATCAAAATGTGTCAATTTGACCAGCAACATAATAAAAAAGTTAAAAGCCAAAAGCCGGTCTTTTCATTTAGCTAACGAGGGGTCATGGCGTGCTTTTGTCCACAGTAATATCGCCCCATCTTTTGTAAAACAGCTTATTTAGGAATGAATGGCAAGCGGACCAACATAGGAACGGAAAGGAAAGGGTCTGAAAGAAGGGCTTAAATGTTGGTTTAGGACTTGGCTGTTGTTTTCTGAGGCGAAACGCTGTCTGGTTTACACACTGGTATTGCGGCATCATGTGGCAGAGCATTTTAAGACCCTGCTTGTCAAGTTAGAAATAGTCCATCTTTTTGTTATGCAGCAAATCAGTGTCAGTTTTGAAACAATGGACCAATCAGAGATGGAGAGGGTGGGACAAGCAACTTTGAGGGTTTACAGTAGCAACTATGTACAATCACCATGCAATCAAATTGGATACAATTTGTTTACCTAATACGTTTCTGGTTGCATGTTATTCAAAGAAAAATGTTTTTGTGCTCTTCAGTTTATTTGGTTGTCGTAAAACTAAACAAACAAAATAGAATGTTTCTTCTGGTATTTTGTTAATGTGTTTCTGCCTCTACAGATGGATCTCGGTGTTAACTAACAGTAAGGAGGAGGCGTTAAACATGGCCTTCAGAGGAGAGCAGGGTGGAGGAGATGATGGGCTGGAAGATCTCACTAAAGCCATAATAGACGATGTGCTACGCATGCCCGGAAATGAAGTGTGCTGTGATTGTGGGGCTCCAGGTACAGATGCTATGTTGCAGGGGCGTTGCTAGGGTCTTGATACATTGGGGGCTTAGCCCAGACCCCACCACCCACCCACCCCCGCTTTTGGTAACTACTACTTCTACTCAGAGGCACATAATAATAAGCAATAATAATATAAATGGGGGGTCTGGGGGACCTCCCCCAGGAAACATTGGGCATTAAACACTTAATTTCCTGCATTCAGGTGCATTTTTTGTAGCTAATTTAATTGATAGGTAAAAAGATAGAATGCTTTATTTGTAGAACTGCAACAGCTATTCACAGAAACACAAATAAATAATACATGAATATTAAATATATAAAAAAATGAATATAAAACTATATATATATATATATATATATATATAGGCTATTCTGTGTAGATATTTATCTATATCTATTTAACTATCTATACACACACACACACATAAATCACTCCAACAGTGTGCTTGTATAAGTCTGGAAAAGGAACTATAGCAGGCATGAAAAGGGGTCAGAGGTGAAAAAGTTGAGAAGGATATTACCCCTCTAGGGGGGACCGGGGGCATGCTCCCCCGTAAGAAAATTTTAAATATTCCATATTTTAAAGCATCAATCTGATGCATTTTGAGATGCATTTTTTGCCAACCTGGAGAGCTGGAGAAACTTAACTTCAGCCATGAGTCAAAAATATTATGGCCTCCGTAGCGTTAGCTAATAATTTTCCACCGGAGCTTTAGCTAGCCTAGCTGGCTAACGTTGCGTTCTCTCCTGCTGTGTTCAACGACTCAATTCATGCAAGCTAAGCCTATGTCAACAGAGCTCCTGGGTAACTTAGATAGCTATAGCCTACCAGAAAATATTATGGATGTCCCGATATCATTTTTTCTGAACCGATCCAATCCGATACCAAAAATTCGGAGTATCAACCGATACCGGTCCAATACCAGCGCAGTTTTTTTTAAATCAAGTAGAATTTCTATAACTCTGTGTGTTGAACTAATAATCACTCTTTTGTGTGTTAAACACAATCTACTTAATACAGACAACTTCATTATAAATAAAAACAACAAATCAAAAACAAAATATGATCATAACCTATGACAAAAATTATATTATAAACTAGATTAGTGGATAACTCAGTAAAATTTAGTCTAGAAAAACAATAATTGTATTAAATCTGAACATTTAGTGAAAAAAACATTATTTAGTGGGGAACAAAGAGACAATAAGTGTAGCACTAAATCAGGTAAAACGTTACACATTGCTCTTTGTATCGTTGTAAAATACATTCATAAAAAACAAGATAAAAATCAGAAAGATCAATTATTATAGGCTATATATATATAGTCTACTATAAAATTAAGACATTTTTAAATGTATAGCACAGCTGTTTAATGAGGCAGCAACATATGATAGATAGGACAGAACAGAACCAAAAAAGCTATTAATAATCTTTCATTGCGCAAAAGTATTATGATATAATTATGAAAGACTCATGTGCGGCACACAGCGCTTATGCGCATCTCGAGCGCAGAATGATGCGCTTGAAGCAACACAGAGTCACAGCGCGCAGAAAAGTTCAAAGCACAAAGGAAAGGCATATCGATGCATAGTGTATTATACAGTAACAGTATCTATCTATGCAATAGTTTATTGAGCCTTTTCTTTTAACAGTTTTAAATTTCAGTTAATGTGCGCGTGAAGAACAATTATAGTGCTCTCCAGTGTGATCACGGTAGAAACGAATATTAAGCAATACAGTCCAGCAAGATATAGTCATTTTATGCGAAACCATATAGCTTTATCTACCGTCCGATAAAGTATAATAATAGTAACATTGAATCATCTTGGAGAGAGTTTCATCGTTGACTGTCGTAACCAAACGCAACGCGCTGTTTGATGCTGAATGGAGAATGACTGACAGCCGCAGCGGAGGGAAACGTTTGCGTGATCTTGAAATTCAATTTAACGACTTAAATTTGTATTTCTATCTCACATTATACTATAGTCTTCATATAGTATATAGTATACCTTCCCCCTCTAATGTCCATAATAGCTACCACCAGAAGCCACAAACAACAATGACAGTCAAGCCCTAAAGCTGTAAGTTAACTGATGGCTCTTTCAGGCTCTCTCTCTCCTCTGGTGCGCACTCTAAATGCAAGCGTGCTGTAACTATAACCATAGTAACTTTGATCTGCTTGAACACATTTTAATCGTCTTTAATACATGATTCCGAAGGATAGATTAAAAGACCCTGTCATTTTTTTTTATATAAATACAAAATTATAAAAAAATAATAATAATTATCAATAAATTAATTTTTTTAAGATCCGGGGCTAAAAAAAAAACATCCGGGGCTGAAGCCCCGAATGCCCATGTCTAACGACGCGCCTGCTATGTTGCACTTGTTTCTGTGAAGTGATGCCCTTAAAACTCATAAAGTGTCATCAGTTTTTAAAAAGCTTTATTTTTTAGCGAGTTTAACTGCACAATCTATCTATCTCTCTATCTATTTATCTCTCTCTCTCTATCTATCTATCTATCTATCTATCTATCTATCTATCTATCTATCTATCTATCTATCTATCTATCTATCTATCTATCTATCTATCTATCTATCTATCTATCTCTATCATCTGTCTATCTCTCTCTATCATCTGTCTATCTCTCTGTCTGTCTAGGTTTCTCTGCCTTCTTTCACTCTCTCCCCTCAGTCTCTTCTCCACTTGTGTTTTGCCCGCAATCTGTCTCAATTTTTTTTTAAATCCCTACTTCTGTTTCTCTCACTCCATTACCAGTGAAATGAGTCTCTCTCTCTCATGATAAAGCAGTAACAGTGTGAGGATCAGGCAGTCAGAATAGATGAGCGCTGTTACATCAGGCTCTTATGTAATTGGCTCATGCAAGCTGTGCTGAATGTTCTGATAGGGCGACTGCTGCTCCAGGGATTGTTTGATCAGCCCTTTTCTCATTCTTTGTTTTCTCTCTCTACTAGAGGATGTGGCCCAGGAAAGGGTCATGAGGCGTGTATACTTGTTTTAATTTGTTGTAACATAGATACATCAATGAATAATCCATAAATCTGGGAAATGGGTGCTTATACATATAAATGTGTTTTAATACATTTTCAGGGTTATTAATGAAAATATATTTGATGCTATCCTTTTAGATGGCCATCGCTACTAAATAGTGCCAGTATAAAGGGCTTTATAGTTAGCAATTATAATGCTGAATATAACTAATGAAAACTAAAAAAAAACAAAAAAACAGAGGAGAGTGTGTAAGAGCAGAGTGTGAAGGTTGAATAAGCAGAGCAATAGCACAGCTGTACATAAAGTATTGCAATCCACACAACATAATAGGAGGCATATCAGAGTTCAAAAGAGGACAAATTGTTGTGCGCGTCTCACTGGCTCATCTGTGACTGAATAATCACTGAAGCTGCCAATTGCTTCAGTTAAATACGAGGTACACAAAACTGCGCTCTTGCGAAAAGCCCGTTATAATCAATGAAGCTGGCTATCTACGCTGTGCATTGAATCTTTTATTGACATTGTGTTTATACTTTGTTGGTTATAATGAAAAGCTCTGCCGTTTTGAGCGGATTCTGCCCAACTAAAACACATCTGATCTGCCATTGCGTTCACGCGCTCAACAGATATGTCCGTGATTGGCGACCAAGCTCAACACTGCAAAAAAAAAAAAAACTTTAACGCTCTTCACAAAGCACTTACACAAACACTCACAGGAGCGTTTTAAAGCAGCCGGCTATCAGAGAGAATCGGGACTGCAGAAAGGCAGATATCGTCACATTAAACAATCAAATCTTTGGCAGGGCAAAGATTCATTTTGACGGCCCCCAAAATATTTTCAATGCAGGAAAAACCCAACAAAAGGTCAGGACTCATTTCCCCAGGGCCCTATCAACTGTAAAAACTCCTAACCCTGATTCTAGCCTAAGGAAATATGACCTTTTGTGATTCCTTTACTCAACCATTTGTTTATTGTCCTTAAATCTAGGCCTATTATATTGATAACCAGTGCATTATGTGCTTAATAAACACAGGAAACATGGGACCATGAGAACATGTGACCCTTTTTCATGTGTTCATTATGTGCCATATAAATCTGGAGAGCATAGGACCATGGGAACAAGGATATTAGAGCATGCTGTGTTCCTATGGTAGTGTAGGTGGTTTTTAGCATGTTTTATCAAAGATGTTCTGGATGGTTGTTAAATGATCTTCCTGTTCCGTTTCTTAGGTTTTCTGGGTGATCGTTATCACATTGCTATATTGCTATGCAGTAACCAAGGTGTTACCAAGGTTGTTAGCAGGTTTTATATATTGCTCAGTTGTTTAGGTGTTATGGGTGGTTATTTTATGCACTTGCGGTATAAAATAAGTCGGATCATTTTATGTATCATTCATGTAAACAATGTGGGATGAGTTGCACGTCAAAAAAACAAAAAAAACCCTACCACTCAAGTATAAGCAATAATAATAGTGATACCTGTGGGGAATTTTGACTGATGACTCAAATTAATCAGTTTGAACTCCTTGAAATGAATCATTCTAGCAAACTGATTCAGGGATTCAAACACTTAAATGCAGGACAGGAGGCTGTCCCGCATTCAAGTGACGTCATGACTGTAATAGTCTTATAGATCTGTGTTGAGCTGTTGTTTAGCCCCTCAGCTGAGAGTTAAACAGTCTAATCTGTGTCAAGTAACATGATTTCTAACACATGGATTCATCTGTTTGAGCACAGGCTTGATCAATGAATCGCTTCTAAAACATGAATGAATGCATTTGATGCTGACTGATTGTGAGTGTTTCAGAGAAGAAATGAATGAGAGAAATAAAGAATGAGTACATCTGGGATTTACCGAGCATGCAGAGAGTGCTGCTGAAGAAAACCTGTGTCTATATTTAGCTGATGTGTATGCGTGTCGGTCCTTTTATCTTTGTCGCCCTGTCACTGGTTCTACACTGGAGACATCACTGGCACTCATGGAGCCACATACACACCTGTCGTCAACACTGACACGCGAATACATAATTTTTCATATGCTGATAACATGCCACTCTGAATTAAACTCCTACAATATTTAGAACTCCATGTTCTAGAACAGTGTTTCTCAGCTCTATTCATCGGGACCACCTCCCAGAATTCTTTAAATGTCTCCTTATTCAACACATTAAGAAGCTGATGAGCTGAATCAGCTGTTTAAATGAGTGACTCATCTAAAACATTCTAGTAGGGTGCCAGGGTTTCCAGGTCTGTTCTAGAATATTAAATCATGAGTCCAACGAGGACCCCTTGTGGTAAAGAAAAGATAACAATAATAAGTTTGCACACACAAAAAATTGCTTTTGCATGCCTCCTAATTTCCCATGTTCTTTTTTTTTTTATGTTCTCAGATCCCAAATGGTTGTCGACTAACCTCGGAATCCTGACGTGCATCGAATGTTCAGGCATTCACCGGGAGATGGGCGTTCACATCTCACGCATCCAGTCTATGGAGCTAGACAAACTGGGAACCTCTGAACTCTTGGTGTGTTTGTTGGTGGAAACATTTTCTTTTTAAATACAGTATAAATCAAACAGGGGATCCCAGGGAAGGTACTGCAGAGGGCCTGACAATTATTGTTTAATCGCAAGGGTTAGTGACAAAATTCAAATATACTTTAAAAATATAATACTTTAACCAATGCTAAAGAAGCTAAAGTTCAGCTCATGTCCCTCCTACATTAAAATGTATCACGTAAAATTTTAATTGTATGTGCAAAATATATTACTCTACCAGGTTATCATTAACTAAAACATTCAAAAACATTTGTAAATTGAAATATATCTGAAATAAAATAAAATATAAATATTAGATGGAAAAAATAAATAAATTAGAAACTGAAATAAGTAAAATTTGAAGCTCTAAAATTTCTACCCTGGATATAAATGAAAACTAAAACAAATAAAAAATAAATGAAACCTAAATAGATATAATAAAAAACAAAACTTTTATAGTCTAATTAAACATATCAATAAAAACGATCATAGTATATAAATAATTCTAAAATAACACTTCTTTATAAATCAATAATTATTATTTACAAGTTTATTTTTATTTTTTATTTATTTTATTTTTTGCTATGTGAGCAGCATCATAACCAGGGGTAAATGCAATAATATATATATATATATATATATATATATATATATATATATATATATATATATATACACACTTTATTATAAGCCAGACTGAAAATGCAACTCTGTTTTATATAATATCTAACAAAAATTATGCTTGGCCTGAAATAGTATAGCAATTAATGCCTGTTTCATATAAAATATTTAGGGTCAGTGCATTGGACCCATGCCAATGTACTTATTCCATATTGAATAGTTAAGTGAATCATATGTTTGTGAATTATATATGTTGTAGTTTATTCATCTTTTCATTTTTCATTTCATCTTCTTTTTTGCTTTCAGCTGGCCAAGAATGTGGGGAACAGTAGTTTTAATGAAATAATGGAGGGAAGTCTTCCTTGCCCCTCTCCTAAACCCACTCCTGCTAGTGACATGTAAGTATGCCTGGCAAACGTGCTGAACAATGACACGCGGGGAAATGCGTGGAAAAAAAAAATATTTTAAAATTAAATTAAATTATATTTGATGTAAATTAAATACATTTTCAACTATTTGTTTCATGTAGTCGCAGTGTCTCAAACATTTTGGAACGTTTTGTATATTAATGTTAAATACTGTTTTCATTTCTCCCTCTCTTATGTCGAGCTTAGGACTGTTCGTAAGGAGTTCATCAATGCTAAGTATGTAGATCATAAGTTTGCAAGAAAAACCTGCAGCTCAGCAGCAGCCAAGATGAGTGAGTTGTTTGAAGCTGTCAGGTCACATGACCTGCTAGGTCTGATCCAGGTGTATGCTGAGGGGGTGGAACTTATGGAACCACTACCTGAAGGAGGACAGGTGAGTGACAGCATCTGAGATCGAATCTATCATTAACACATAGGCACTTTTTCCATTTACTGGTTGAAAAATCAATGAAGTGGCCTCTGAAAGGATTTATTAAAGCTTGAATATGAAACATACCAAGGATTCTGGGAGGAGATAGTAGGTCCACAGGAACAGAGTGTGACCCGAACTATGACATGACATGATGTCGAATGATACGAATGTCATTCACCCATTCACATCAGAGCCTTTGATGAGCACAGATCTTGAGGTCTGGTGGATATCAGAAAGCAGACACTCTGGACGTGACTCGAATCCTCTGCCTTGATCTTCTCCCAGTTTTCGGCATTGCGAACCCATTTGTTCCTTCAGATGATTACTGATAGTGCTGCTGCTGCCTGACTCTGAGATGAACAGCTGCTCCTGAGTGGGTGCAGTCGCAAAAACATCCTCAATCTAAAATCATCTCGGTTTCGCTTTTTATTATGTTGCTTCTGGCTAGGGCATCAGCTGATTTTTGATTTGTTTTTTTGAATCATCAAACATTGATGATTATGGAACAGTGTCCATCCATATCCCTGTCAGAGACACTATCAGCCTTATATTTTTGGTGGATCATCGTCATCAATACATGTGGTACGACCCGTAGCAGTCTAAATATAAACACTTATAGGTGTACCGTAGTGATTCAGGATAAGACAAAAACTCTGTTTGGAAAATAGATTCATGATGTACTCGCTTAATATATATTTTGTACATTTTGAACACAAAAAAAGTTACAGACTGCAGCTTTACTAAAAAAACCCCAGTAAAACAGTAATATTGTAAAATATTATTACAATTTAAAATAATCTTTTTCTATTTGAATATATATTAAATTAAATGTATTCCTGTGATGGCAAAGCTGAATTTTCAGCAGCCATTTCTCCAGTCTTCAGTGTCACATGATCCTTCAGAAGTTATTTTAATACCCTGATTTGGTGCTCAACAAACATTTCTTTATTATTATCGATGTTGAAAACCATTTTGCTGCTTAATATTTTTTTTGTGGAAACCATTATACATTTTTTTTTGTGATACATTCTTTGATGAATAGAAAGTTTAAAATAATTTGAAATAGAAATATTTTGTAACATTATAACGGTCTTTACTGTCACTTTTGACCAGTTTAAGGCATCTTTGTTGAATAAAAGTATTAATTATCAGTTACCAATTTTTGTCTTTAATATAACATGCACAGACAAATTGTGCTATATATATATATATATATATATACAATTTAAATGAAATTTAAAAGTTTAATAAAAATGGATCATACATTTTTTAAAACATAAATTAAATGAGCAGTTTTAAATAATACATTGATAGATTTCTTTATTTAAATTTTTTATTGGTTATGCTAAAAATCCCTCATATTTTACACCATAAGACGAGACAATTGTTAAGAAAGTAAAATGGGTTAACACATGCTGAATGAGTATTTGTGTGTGTTCTTATATGTTATAGGAAGGAGGAGAGACTGCACTGCACTACGCCGTGAGGACAGCTGACCACACCTCTCTGCACCTGGTCGACTTCCTCGTCCAAAACAGGTATTAAATACCTGCTTATTACCACAAAATAACTGGGAGAATACACTGCTGGCCATGTTTGGATTATCAGTTTTCTGTATTTTGCAGTGAATGATCTTCAGCATTCGTTTTGTCCTCAGTTGTGTCCTCAGTCACCTCTTGTTTTGTTCCATCACTGTTATCATGCAGAGCTTGATGGTTAACCAGGATGAGTGTTTTTTTTCTTTTCTTAGGGTGACAGGTGTTCATGTACAAGCTCTAGAACTTTTGAAGGGATTATTATGCAGATAATAGAGTAATTTAAGTTCAGCTTTGGCTCAATTTGCTCTCTGCTGTGTGGATTAAAGTTGCATAACAACATTGGAAGATCACATCATGCCTGAGCCAGAACTATACTTGGCTCACATCCTAGTAAATAATCATAATTCGGTTTCCCTGAAACGATTCCAGGTTTGCACTGAAGGTTGGTTTAAGAGAAATATTACCGTGGAAGGGAAATAAATCCAACTCAGACAACTGGGACTGTATTATTTCTTTGGATGCATTGGCTCACTCTGCTCCAACTCCACTTCAGGTTTTCCTTTCCCCACTCCTCACTCGCACCCTGATCACATTTGAAAGATACCCCGTCCGAGTTAGTTCCAAATTAGCTCAATTTTCAGGGGGTTATTTTAAAATTAAGTGAAATCATCCTTGTGGGATTTCCGTACAGTTGTAAGGGTGATTAGTTTGATGATATAATATTAAAGGCATAGTTCACCCAATCATCATTTATTCACCTTTAAGTTGTTCTAAACCTGTTTGAGGTGTTTTGATCTATTGAACACAAAAGAAGATATTTTGAAGAATGTTGGTAACCAAAAACATAATATGAAAACAAATTCTAGTTTGTTTATAGCTAGCCATGGATTATGTCGCTCATACCATGGTCATTTGCCAGCATTAACAATTTAAAGTTATCATTGATGGAAGCACTTAATTTGACTGGAATTGATGGTTATTTTCGTCAACTACGACTTGTTAGTTCTAGCATGCTGTCCGCTTTAAATCAGACACTGAGAAAAGGTAGCATGGTAAGGTTACATTTATTTGATTGAATTATGACATTTATTTATTTAAATGAAGTAGCCTATCGGAATATACTGGTGTAGATGTGTACCCTCTCTCTGTTTCTTACTTTCTCTGTAGTCTCTCTAGGTGAACAGAACTAGGTCATTGACTTGCTCTCTCCCCATGTGTGCAGTTTAGTCACTGCTGACCCAAATTCATGTAGATTATGAAAGGTATGAAGCAGCTCATTAAGAGTGAAAATGTTGTTCATGTCACAGCCTCGAGGAAAGATTTGAATTTGAAAATCTGTGCTCAGACGATTTTGTTAACATGTTCACCATCAAGATTGTTGTAGATTGGTTTTAATACATGTTTATTTTTGCTTTATGTTGGAAGTTTTCGGTTCTAACATGTACGGTGTGTTTTTTTATAGTACAATACACTCTTATGTCATAAGATCAAGGAAAATTGTATTCCTTATGTCTCTCTGTCCAGTGGGAATCTGGATAAACAGACGGAGAGAGGAAACACGGCCCTGCACTACTGCTGCATGTATGAGAAACATGAATGCCTCAAACTGGTGCTGAGAGGCAAACCAGCTACTGATATCAGTGAGTTACACATGCTGTTTTTATTTTGTTCATGTTTAATTATACGTATGTACTAATAAAAAGCAGTATTATTACTAATAATAATAATCTACCTTTAAAAATTAAAAAGCACTGTTCAATGTAATCTTCAGAAAATCTCAAAAGGAATATCCATTTTACATACTGTGCATTATAGTGATGTGATGCCTGAATTTACTTGTAGCATTTCAAATGATTGATTTTATTTAGACAGAACAGTCTAGAACTATAATATTGGATATAATTTTAATATCTTTGCATCACTACTTGCATATATATTTACTTAGACACCAAATACATACAAGCTTGCGTTTCATAATGATAAACACTGTTATGTATATGGTCCGGTTAAAATGTGACTTCATGTTTCAGCCAATCAGAATGGAGAAACTTCTCTGGATGTGGCCAGACGGATGAAGATCATCCAGTGTGAGGAAGCGGTGAGTAACTTCTGGGTCAGAAGAGACAATCTTTCCTATGAAAACTGTTAATGGATGTTCTTCAGAATCAATAGGGGGTATTAGAGATGTGCTGAAGGCCCCAAGGTGTAAAGATGTGGTTGTTTTTGTAGATCTAACTTGTGTGTTGTGTGTGTGTGTGTGTGTGTGTGTGTGTGTGTGTGTGTGTGTGTGTGTGTGTGCTTCAGCTGGTACAAGCCGCTGCGGGAAAATTTAATACTAAAGTCCATGTGGAATATGATTGGAATCTCAGACTGGAAGAGCTTGACGAGAGTGACGATGATCTGGACGACAAAGTAACGCATTACCCTTTGAACCTATCTTAAAATATTTAAACTTCTCCGACTCAGAGACTGAAAGATTTTCTCATTGTCTTTCATTCCCAGCCCAGTCCCATTAAGAAAGATCGTTCTCCCCGTCCGCAGAGTTTCTGTCACTCATACAGCCTCTCTCCTCATGACAAGCTCTCTCTGCCTGGTTTCATTGGCCAGCGTGATAAGCAGCGCCTCTCATACACTGCACTCACGAATCAGATGTACAGCGTTTCCACTGACTGCCCGTCCTCTCCCGTCGCAGATGCCCCACCTCTGCCACCCAGGAATGCAGGCAAAGGTAACCCAGAAACACAACAGCCAATCAGATGCCACAGAACATAAAACTTGTTCTAACCAATCGTATGCTCTTGTGAATTCCATAATTGTGTTAATTCCAATAATTATATTTGTATGTATACATTTATTAATCAAACTCCCAGCTTCTGTCTTTTTAGTTCAGTTTGTAGTCCTAAAACTAGGAGAAAATTTAGCATTTTTGACCCATGTGTTCCTTATGGAGTTTCAAATGGGTTTAATGAGTAAGGACTTTTGGTCAGCATCTTTGATGAGACTTTCACATTTTGTTTTACAACATAAATTACTTTGAATCATACCTTAAATATGAATTTTGAAATTTGGGTTTTTAAATGTTGCAAGCAAGTTGTTAACCCTCTGGGGTCCAAGGTGTTTTTGGGGTCCTTGAGATGTTTTGACATACTCTGACATTTGTGCTTTTTTCAGTTGCTTATAAACAAATTACTGGCAAATGTGTAATTACACTCTATTTAGCACAAACAGGGCTACCATAATATGTTATCAACATGTATGTACATGTTTGTATTTTTGAGAGAATATTGTTTATGCGTGGTTATTGAAAAAACTAAAACTTAAAGTTTCTGAAATAAGGCCACAAAACACATACTAAATATGTGTCCACAAGACTTTTGACTAATGGATGTTGTCGCCTAGAGTTTTTTCTTCAAAATGATCTGAAAATCATCCTGCCTTATCATTCACATAAAACAATAGATTGGTTTAAATTTAAAAATGACACTTTTTGTTTGGAAAGGCAATATGCGCAGGGGTGTGACCTGCTGTGATTCAGACCTGAGAAGACAATGGGCCCGCATAATGAGCGCATAATGGGGCTGCATACTAATGACCCTTTCATTCAGGTGTGTCACTGAGCCACAAGAATGCAATGACAATATATATATATATATATATATATATATATATATATATATAGGCCTATATAATACAAAATTGGTTCACAGTTCCAATTATTTATTTATTTTTCAAATTGTGCTTGCAAATTGTATATCAAATGTAAACATTTCTAGTAATTGTGCAGTTAATTCTCATACTGTTTTTACAGAAAGTTTGGGAATATATCCCAAATGTGTCACTAATAAAACACAAAACAAATAATTTAAAGAGGAGGCTTATATTGAGCTTTTAAGATTTACCTAAGATTTATTTATATGTAGCCTACATATATTTTTGCTATTTTAATAAAAAGGTTACAATTACAACAACAATTAAAATTAACTATATTTCAAATGTAATCTTTCTTTGTATATACTAAAGTATACATTTTATCATACATATTTCACAGTTGCGGATTAATTAGTTTGAATATAGCCTACAATCGAACAAACACTATAATAACATCTTAGCAAACAAGCTTATTTGATGTGGCAGTATTTTACAGTAAAAACGACATCTTGTCTTTCATATGTAACATATCGTTTTTATGATTAGGACATATAAATGTTAATTTGCAGTTTAATACGTTGCTTATACAAAAATATTTTATTTCAACCTATTTCAGTCGATTTTTACTCATCTCAGTATTGGAATATAGTCAGGTAAAAGCGGTTCATTCATTCACACACAAAAACGCGATTCATATTCAAGCAGTCTTTTTGTTTACAGACACTATTTCATATCGCGATTAGAACAAAGCACTTGAAAATAAAGAATGTACCTATTCCTCAGCTGGATCCGTTGCTCCTCCAAATAAAACTACCTGCACTTCTGAGGTAATTTTTTCCAGGATTATTATTAAGATAGTATTATTCCTCACAGCGTCGTAAATATGAGTCTCTTTCGGTGGGTTATCCAGCTGATGTGGGTGTGGATCGCCTAAGAGCATTTGTGTTTGAATAGAGCGCGCGCTCCGTGGGCGTGGTCAAATTAACTTTAATGACCTGAGACGAGAACGACTATCATCTCTCTCTTTTCGTACAGATTACATAAAATGAAAAAAATTGTTTTTTATATAAATTACTTCATTTAAAAGAAGATAATTCAGGCTTCATGCCTGTGTGCCTGTATACCTGTTTGACTGAGTATTTGCAGAGTTACAGTTCATTTTTCGGACGCGTTTCAGAATGGACTTCACTGACAGAGAGAACGCAGAACACGCATCATGTTTATTTTTCTTTATTAGGCGAAAAGCACAACACTTTGTTTTTATTGTGAGGTTCCACAAAAAAAATACAAACTTAACAGGATCGAATGATGTACAACACGTATATGTAAGATCAAAATCAACAGAGTAATTTGAGTCTCTTTTGCACTGATAAGGAAAAAAGTGAGCTGGTATCGCCGGCGAGACCGCCGACCCCAGAGGGTTAAACAAGAAATACAACAATTCTAAAAACATCCTTTTGGTAGTTCTAGTCCTTATATAGCAACTTGCAGTGTTATTTTAGTATTATTATATACTGTGTTAGTATTTTTGGAATTCTACAGAATTCGCCTTTGGCTAAGCCACACCCTAGAATGTAGATTGACCAATCACAGCGCAGCGAAGAACGAGCTCCCACAGTGGTCCGACACTTTTTTACAGCGCTCCATTGACTTTAACACAGGCGTCTCATATTTTTGGTCTCGACCGGCTATTACCGTTGTAGTTTTATCAAAAATATGGTTAAACGTTGTGCCTGGGGCATTTGTAACACAGATACGCGTTTCTCAGAGAGGTTGGAGGGGGGTGTCCGTTTTTTTCCCTTCCCAAACCGAAGTCAAATCCTGAAAAGTGTTGTCTAGCACACGCTGCTAATAAATACAACGTTATACTCGCGTAGTCCGTTTGCTTTGTAATAATGATTATAGAAGTGAATGGAGACCTACCCAGCTTTGCATGAACAGTGTTGCTCCTTGTTATTGTTAGTCCCAGCCTCCGTCTCGATTAGTAGGATATGCGGTGGTTCATTTTTTGACTGTGACCGGTATGCTTTTGTTTTGCCTCTATTTGGATGCCTTGTTGTTCCTTGCGTTTCACCTGTATGTCGCGAATATAGCCTTCGAACGTATATTACATCCCCTTTTGCCTACTTCTATCGGACACTTTATTTGCTGCTGTATAAAAGTTTGATAAAATTTCAGTAGGAAGAGCTGTCACAGCATAAGCCATGTTGATACCAGAGGCTCAGACAAAGCCCAGATGAAGTTTGTTTGTCGGACGTAGCAACAGTAACTAAGGGGGGGCGGGGCTTAGCCAAAGGCGAATTGGTTCAAAGTCAGAGTTGGAAACATCACAAATTTTGTATGTATGCAAATTGTATGATATCTAAGTACACATTTCTAGTAATTGTGCAGTTAATTCTCATATTGTATTTTCAGAAAGTTTTGGAATATTTTTCCTCTCCCCAAATTTGTCACTACCGAAACACAATAACATATAATTTGATAAGAAGGGTTATATTGACCTATTAATCTACCTTGTAAATATATTTTTGGCTATTTTATTAAAAAGTATTCACAGATAAATCAATAACAATTACAATTTTAACAATATTTCAAGTGTCATTTATGAGATTTGTTGTATTTTGAATCAATCTTTTTTTGTACAAGGTATAATGTTTAACATACTAATTTCAAAGTTAAGGATTCATTAATTTGAATATACATTGAACCAAACACAGGGTTCCCACGCGTCCTGGAAAACCTGGAAAATGAAAGACCAATTTTCCAGTCCTGGAAAACACATGGAAAATGGGAAAAAAAAGTAAAATGTCCTGGAAACGTTTGTGTTGTCCTGGAAAATAATTGTCCCTCCTTGTGGATGAACGCAAACGGGTTAAACATTTTACGCATGAATGTCTGTTTTCAGCTGCCTTCAACGGGTTATATTGGGCGAAAGCGCTTGTCTGCTTTCATTTCTGCATGTAGCCAGCACAGCGCCCCACGTGACACAACCCAGGGGGGCCCATGCGCACTTGGGGCCCAAGCGAGTGGAATAATTTTTTTTAGTTTTTTTTTTTTACATTTCCGATAGCGGAGCGTACATTTGCACTACGTGCCTGTCTTTTTAGCAAAAATATACCCTTCACTAAATATCTACAGTGTCGTCGGGCGTGTGGTGCTTGACAGCAGCTTTTGACGCGTTCGACCCAAGTTCGAATCCGCCTTTTGCCGAACTCTCTCTTCTCCCTTTTCCCAAAACATATGAGATGTAAAATGTATAGCCTATACCATAAAGGTCTCTAGCGTTATATTTTGCCAACGAACTAAAATCGAAACCGTGATATGGCTTTGTCCCTTTATAAAACAGCACAAGACTGTAATTAAAGGTCCCGTTCTTCGCGATTCCATTTTTCAAACTTTAATTAGTGTGTAATGTTGCTGTTAGAGCATAAATAATACCTGTAAAATTATAAAGCTCAAAGTTCAATGCCTGGCGAGATATTTTATTTAACAGAAGTCCCCTTTCAAAGCATACAGCGAACGGCCGGTTTGGACTACATCTCTCTGCTTCCTTTTTTAATGACGTAACTAGAACCGTTTTTTGACTAATCTCCGCCCACAGGAATACACAAAAAAGGGGGCGTGGTCTTGTTGCGCTCCTACGGAGAAGAAGCACTTCAGCTGCACATGCATCTCCAATTTATGGGTAGAGGCGTGACCTTTCCGGGCAACGTGCGGTAAGCTGCTGTCGAATCACAACACAGGAACCGCTGGCACAATCAGAACTCGTTACGTATTTCTGAAGGAGGGACTTCATAGAACAAAAGTCATCGGGCCGTTTTTTGGACAGTGAAAACAATAAAAATACTATGTTTTTTTACACGCGAAACATGAACACATGTTATATTGCACACTGTAAACACAATCAAAGCTTCAAAAAAACATTAAGAACGGGACCTTTAAGTAGCCTATATAGCCATTCTGTTTGTGCTGCGTGATTTAAAGAAAAGTGCGCTCTTTGCTCACGCGATCAGCATGGTTATTTGGTGTTTTCTCCAAAATAAAAGCTCAAAGGTTTATTTCTTGCAAGTGAAGAAATTAGGACAAAAGTATTGTAATGTTCCTATACAATAGTGTAAGTAAAATACATTTTTGAAATATTAATTTTCATTTATACAGTACATTTATAGGCTATATGGATTTTACGTAATAGGAATAATTATATAAATCATTATTACATTATTGTAATAATCGTTTGGCATCCTAAAACACCAGTGGCAATGTAATGTAGACTGAGACTCTATATAATAACTAAAAAGATGTTTGATCCCTCTTGAATGTCCAGGTACAAGTCAATGCTTTTCCTTTGTTCAATGTTACAGTTCATGGGTTGGAGCCGGTTAAAGCTCTTAATTTTGAGCTCTCAAAGAGCACCAGATTGATGCATTTAACCTTAAAATGCACAAAATTCTCTTGCGGGGGAGCATGCCCCCGAACCCCCCTAGAGAGACAGAGGTAAAACCAACATAGTTTTACAAAATCCTATGGGAAAGAACAATAATTTATGAACTTTACTCCAAAAACAAAGTTTCTTTTAAATCAGTAAAACTGTTAATGCCGAATAAAAATTGGACAAACTATACATTTGGCCTGCCTAAGGGGGGCCTACAAGACATTGTGCCAAGGGGCCTCTGAATTCTTAATCCGGCCCTGGCTGTATCGACTGAGAGGTTTTTCTCCCTCGAGTGACAGAGGAGCAGTGGAGAGCTGTGGGCGTGTCGTCACTCATACCTTTGCGTGAAATATTTTTTTGGTTTTAGTGGAGCCGTAGCGAGCACGACGACAGCTTCGAGATAGCGACGGGTAACAGGTAGTCTTACCGGGCCAAGTTCCAGTCAGTATTTCATACTTGTTCTATTGTCTGACAGCAGAAACCAAAACCGTGAATGAGAAAAACGTCATGAATTCAGCTTAAAATACTGTGTATGTGCACAGAGCCCCAACTTTTCATGCTGTTTTTAGCTAGATACACAGACCGCAGAGAAGAGGCAGTGAGAACTAAAGACTTGCATGTTCATTTGAACGCAATTGTTAACGTAAATTAATTGAATTCAACATGCTGAATTAATAAATAATATGATTTTAAGTGGTAACCATAAATTTATCATAGTAATTGATTCGCACTGTAGCAGCTGAAAAAGTCTTGAAAATGTCCTGGAAAAGTCCTGGAAAATAATTTCAAGAAAAGATTGGGAACCCTGCAAACACTATTATAACATCTTGGTTGATAATTCAATATACTATTTTTGACAAAACATCCCATGTTTTGATCATGACTGCACATTTTCGGTAGTGACAGTAATGTTTTGCTAGTGAACACAAAACATTACAGAATTTTAGCATACTAAAACACTACTAAAACATACAAAAATACTAGTGATTTGCATTACTGTACTAAAAGTACAAATAAACGATTATGTGTTCCTTTTGTCACTACCCAAAACAATGATGTCACAACTGAAACTTCACTGATGCTAATCAGCACATGGTTAGCTAGCACAGTTCTTAAGAGTTGTACACACACACAAAAACTACACTTTATCAAATAACCCCCAAAAAATAATGATGTCACAACCGAAACTTCACCACATGTTTCGGTCGTGACTGTTTCGGTAGTGACAATTTTAGATACTTTTGAGCCTAGCTAAAAAATGCTAACTAGTACATGGTACCTAGCACAGTTCTGAACAGTTGTACGCACATAAAAACTACATTTTATGGAATAACGTTTGCTTAATTGCAGAAAAAAAGGTGTTTAGTTGTGACTTTCAGACTTTTGAACACATTTACCTCAACGTTTTTGTTGACCTATCTACTCACCATGTAGCTATGAGAGAGGGGGACAAAAATGAAGGGGTGTGATTAAAATCAGTCTCAGCCAATGGACTAAAACATACACTGTTTCAGTAGTGACATGAAAATGCGGGACACATTTCTTAACATAGTTATATATATATATGTTTTTTAAATCAAAAAGATGCAAAACAACTGGAAATAATTGCTAAAATAATTTCAATATAATTTTCATAAGTTGACATTTAGAAGTTAGGGTTTTGGGACAGCCCCCTCCCAATTGAAAATAACCAATAAATTATGATTATATATATATTAAGCTTACTGATATTTTTTAAATATTATTGTGGGATTCAAAAGATAATAGAATGATTTTAGTAAACGTAAGATTTGAATACTTTGAATAAATGTTTTTTTTTTTTTGGTTGTGGGATAGCAGTTTGCACCAATTTATTTATTTTATTTTATTTATTTATTTGAAAACAAAAGGGACAATACATATTAATGAACATTTTCACAAATGTAAATGTCAGATTATAGCATTAGGCTAATTTCCATCTGCAGACCCCCTAGCAGGTTGATGTTACGCACAAATTAATAAATACATACAGATACACTATACACATACTATTTACAGAGAAACAAGGACAAGAACAGTGATCACATCATGTTAGAACAGACAGTAACAACAAGAGGAATGAACAATTCTGTAGAATGGCATTTATATATATATATATATATATATTCTTTCAGTTTTCATTGTAGTTTATTCATTTTGTTATGTGCTTTTGTACTTTTTATTGTTGTTGTTTTGTTTGTTTTATTTTTGTAATTGTGATACTTATTTATTTCTGTAAGTTGCCAAGGCAACATTTTTTAAGTTTTTCATCTAATATTTATATTTTATTTCAGCTTTATTAGCCCAGTAGTTAGTAGCTATGTAAAGTTTTAACATTCATGAGTTATGACAGTGTATATTTTATGTGTTGAACAAAACATGAAAGTCTCTTCAAGTGTTTAAAATGAGGACTGGTAAATACTTGACTGCTTGACCAATCACAATCAAGTTATCCAGAGAGCTATTTAAATGTTTTTATATGTTAATTACTTATAGTCTACTGAAAAGACAACAAAACTGTTACAACTGTATGCCTGTTACTGTAATATTTGTGTATATGTGTTGGAATTTTAACCTGTTTTCTGATGCTTTGCCACAGAATCCAGCTTTGTTTACTTTTCCATTTGATACTTTTGTTTATGGTTTGACTTTTGGATATGACATGGTATTAACAGGCAAAACTATGTAAAATTGTATCCTGTCTTTTTCCATCTTTTCTTCGCTCTCTCTCTCTCTGTTTATTCTCTTCTCTCTTTGTCTCGTCTCTCTTGCAGCTCCTTCTCTGGCTTTCCTTGGCTCTCATTCCCACTATGCTACTCTGGCTAGCACTCGACCATACATAAGTGACTATCTAATTTTTTATTTGCATACACCCTTTCTGCTTATTGAATCTAATAATGACCTCATTATTTGATCTTATGACATTTTATAACTGTGTCTGAAACTGAAGGCTGCTGCAATTTGAAATTAATGTTTTTAAATGAAAGCACATGACCATTCAAAAGTTTGGGGATAGTAATATTTTTTTTAAAGAATTTAATAGTTATATTTCAGCAAGGATGCATTAAATTGATTAAAAGTGACAGTAAAAAACACTTATAATGTCAAATAGATTTCGGTTTCAAATAAATGCTCTTCAACAAAGAATCCTGAAAAAATGTATCACGGTTTGTAGAAAAATGTTAACAGCACAACAGTTTGAAACGTTTTAGGAAATGTTTCTTGTGCAGCAGATCAGTATATTAGAATAATTTCTGAAGGATCATCAGCTTTGGATCACAGGAATAAATTACATTTTAAAAATATATAAAAATAGAAAACTTATTTTCAATTTGTAATAATATTTGGCAAAATTCCTTTTTTTTTTTCTTTTTTTTTTTTTACTGTATTTTTGATTAAATAAATGCAGTCATGTTGAGAATAAGAGACTCTTAAAAACTTGAAAAAAAATCTTACCAACCCCAAATCTTCGAATGGTATTGTACCTCTTAAAGAAACTAATTTCAGATTATTTGAATGATCTAGAACAGGGGTGCAAAACTCAGTTCCTGGATGGCCACAGCCCTGCAGAGTATAGCTTTAACCCTAATTAAACACACCTGATCCAGCTCATCAAGTCCTTCATGCTCATTTGAAAAATACAGGATCGTGTCTGAAATCACCCCCATACCCTAAATAGAGTACTATTAGAGGTGACAGCCATTTGTAGTGGTGTCCGAAACCATTGTGGACATCATCGAGTCCACTCATTCAATCCCATCCTGCACCGCAATAACGAGTGTACAACCACTCAACGTGTAGAGAATACCCATAATGCACTGTGAGGGTTGCGCCAAATGAATTCCCGGGTCTTGCCAGAAGATGGCACCCGCAGCTGAATCATCCATCCATTCATTTTCCAAACCGCTGGTCCAATGTGAGTATTGGGTAATTTCATATGATACAGGTATAAATTCATTTTTATTGTCATGGAAACTATAAACCTTAATTAAACAATTTAATAATCAGAGTAATACTGGAGGTGCAAGTTTGCTAAGTTTCAAATGTTTTTTAAACAAGCAGAGTGTCCAAATTTGCTCACTAGTGTTCATTTACTCCTTGTAAACTATATTGTGGACTAATGTAGGGAATAGTGAATGAGGGGGCGATTTCGAACACAGCCCAGGTGTGTGTGTTGGAGCAGACTAAACTCTGCAGGACTGTGGCCCTCCAGGAACTGAGTTCTGCAACTCTAATCTAGAGCAAATTAGCTAGACAGATTGTCAAAATTAAACATATATATATATATATATATATATATATATTAATAATAACATTTATAAATTAATTTAATTGTTTCAAGACAACATGTCTTATGTTTTAAACCAACTAATACACATATACAGAATGGTTGAATATCATAGCTGGTGGTGAATGCATATGTTGCCTTCAAAACCAACTAGATATAAGCATCTTAGTAGACAGCATGTTTCACATATATTTAATTTGCACATGCCTTGATGCCTTTATACTTTCAAATGCAACATATTTCTGGTTTTGGACACGGAATCACTGAATTCACCATTAGGTCCAATCCAATCAATCAGTCTGATTCCCTTTTTGCTTGATATACTTTCATTTGGAGCCTTCTGATTCTGCTACAGTTTGGCTGTTATATGTAAATGGGTAATTTGACTTTCCATAGTTACAACTAAAGCCCAGAATTTGCTGAAGGTGTTAATTTGATGCATTTGCTTATTTCTCACACAAAGCATCTCTGACTGAGCTTTTCACTGGCTGTTGACTGTCTTTTTCAAATCAATAATGTAGAAAAGAGCTCACTTGACTTTTTTGTGGTGTCTTGATGTCCTCTTCTAACCCCCTTGATGCCCTTCTCCAACTGAAGTCACTCCTCTAGTTTGCCCACTTCCACTTTAAAGCGCCTCACTTATCTGGCCTTCTTCGTTTTTAGTGACACTTGTCATCCTGTCCTACTGGTTACCCACATCATCATTCTTTCTCTTTATTTTCTTCCCTTTATATTTTGTCTTCCTTCCTCCTGCACCCTCCAAAGAACCCATGTTAAATGAGTGTCCATTCTTCACCTTGACATCAGTGCATGTTGTTTTATGTTGTTGTTTTCCCTCCAGCCCCTCCCTTGTCAAACCTGCCCCCCTCCACCCTCGCCCCTGCCACCCAGACCCCTGCTATTGGCAACTCCACTCTAGCAAAGAAGAGGCCCCCGCCCCCTCCCCCGGGACACAAACGCACGCTTTCAGACCCCCCTACCCCGCTGTCATACACCCTGCTCAGTAAAGGTGGGCTACACTTTAGCAACAACCCTAGTTGTTGGATTACTAGGGTTTCTGTTTTTTTGTTGTTGTTTTTTGTCCAGGTTTTCATTCACTCAGATCCACATGAAGTGGTTTCAATTCAGTTTATTTCTATAGTCCACTTAAGATATTGTAACTTTGCTAGTACATGTCAACAAATTCTCTTTAGAATATTTGTAGACTGTTTGATTAGGGTTCCTGTTAGTGGAATAAGTTGACATGAACTTGGAACGTTACTTATAGTCATGTCTGTTGGGGGACCATCAAATTAAGTCTATACTTATACTGTTCTCTGACTTATACTTGACATGTAATTGAAAAGTTACTTACATTTAGTAGAATGTCTAAAGTGGATTATCAAATTAAAATGTTACCGATTTTTTATTTTATTTATATAAGATGTTTTTTAGTGGAAACATCAATTTTGTGTCTTTTAGATTAAATTCTTTCAAGAAATGGTCTTTTGATCAATTTTAGGTCAATCCTTAAACATCCCCAAGGTGAATGTGTTTGTTTTTGGTTTGATCTCTGCAGTATATTACCAGATCATTTGGATCCCATTCATTATGTGGTGGCGTTACATGTTAAACTCTAGAACATTTTAGATATGAAAAAACAATATTGAGACGACAATGTTGCCAATGAAAGGCTCAGCCTAATGACCCCATCCATGATCTTTTGACCTCTATATTGAACCCTGCCCTAGTGATTTGCATGATGCTTAACATTTAGGGTAAAGACAAAGAGCAAGGCATGGTAAAATAATGGTCTGGAAGATATTAATGTGTGAAAGACATGTTAAAATGCATTGCATCTTGTATATCCCCTCACATGATCTGTATCGAACTATCGATATAACCCATATTAATTAACTGCCAAGTTGATTTACATAATTACATAATTTGAGATGTACTGAGATACCTTTAAGACCATTATTTGTATACAAAGTTGTGACATTTGCTGAAAGCAATTCCTGGAGACTTTCATGTGTACACAAACTTTTATGTGGATAAACCTTTGTGTATAAAGGATGCATTTAATTGATCAAAATGACAGTAAAGACATTTTTTTTAGTGTTCCATTTTTTCTTTATATCAAATAAATGCTGTTCTTTTGAACTTTCTATTCATCAAAGAATCCTGAAAAAAAATGTATAGTATCCACAAAAATGTTAAGCAGCACAACTGTTTTTAACATTGATAATAAGGAATGTTTCTTGAACAGCAAATCAGCATATTAAAAGGATCTCTGAAGGATCATGTGACACTGAAGACTGGAGTAATGATGCTGAAAATTCTACTTTGCCATCAAATTGTAATACTAATTTACAATATACTGTTTTTACTGGATTTTTGGTCAAACTAATGCAGCCTGAAAGTCTGAAAGTCTCTTTTCAGAAAGATTTAAAAAAAAAAAAACTTACTGGCCACAAACTATACTGCCAGGCAGTATATATCTAGTTTTACTGTGTGAAATTCCCACTACATTTTTTTTTTATTTTTTTTTTATCTGCTAATGTCACCTTAGGGGCTCTATAGGCTTCTGCCACTAAAATATATTTAAACTCAAACTCATCATTGCAGGAAGTGACTCAACGCCACCTCCTGTCAACAAGATGTCCCCTTTAACTAACAGATTTGAAGGCATTCCGCAACATCAAAGGTAACCCATCTTCTAAAAACTTTTCTAATGTAGCAAATGAAACAATCCAAACATAACTGATTAAGAATTCAGAAAGGCCACATTTCAGCGCAAGTTTTGTAGAACGAGCTTGAACTTTAGAACTATATTTGCATTAAAAATGTCAGCAAACTTTAGACTGCATATTTATACATGGCCTTTCGTGTTTCATTTGAATATGTCCATGTAAATTTGTCATCGTGTATTTGGGAATGCAAACCAGTTCTCTTTATTACATTATGGCTGATTTTACAGAGCGTGGAACCTGTTATCAGACATATCTTTGAGCTTTACATATGTTCCATATTTCTAGTCTCAACACCACAAAGCCCACACTTGGTCCACGGGTCCTTCCCAAACTACCTCAGAAGGGTAGGTGACATGCTTTCTGCCTATGAATATTGCAATGGTTATAACATCTGAATGTTGAAATAATTAATTTAGTCAGTCACTTTAATCATAATCATCACAATTGCATAGTTATTTGCATTCAAGTATGTATTTTAATTTAATTTAGTTTGTATTAAGCTAAGAGTGTATCTTGTTCTTTATCTTTTTCAAATAAATGTTCTATATATTTTATATAGAATTTGTTAGTTAATTAAGTTATTTTTCACAATAAATATTGTTTCTCAGCAGCACAAAATATTCCCTTACAACTAGCACTGAACACTGATGGTGATGCTTAGAAACTTCTTTAAAAGCAAAAGTGTTTTCTTGAAAGTTGTACAGATGAACACTTAGAAATGAATGACATTTTTACTCACAGAATAAATGCACTTTTAAAACTAACAGTAAAACTAGTACATTTTTTTTACTAACAAAAGTAAAAAATAAATAAAAAGAAAACAAAATGAATAAAATATGAAGTAATATTACAAAACAATTGGAACATCACCATTCAGACATTATTTGTACACTTTTTGGATACCCCTTTTCTACTGTGCTCTGCTCAACATCTTGTGAGGGAAATATTTCCTCATTTGTCTTCCAAAATAGTATTAAACTATATCAAAAGACAAAAACAAAACAAAAAAACTATTAGACAGAAAACGCATAACTAATCTGCTGACATTATCTTGTTTTTCAATAGTTGCCCTGCGTAAGATAGACACCATCCATCACCCATCTATGGACAAAACCAACCAGCCTCCTGAACCTGTGCTGTTTCAGAAGGTTCTGCAGAGTTCAGACACCCCACCGAAAGTTCCTTTAGCTGATAGACCTCAACCTGGAGATATACCTCCTAAACCACAGCATTCAGAATTACCCCCTAAACCAGGAGAACTACCTCCAAAGCCCCAGCTGTCCGACCTTCCCCCTAAACCCCAGCTGGGTGACCTACCGCCTAAACCTCAGCTGAAAGATCTCCCGCCCAAACCCCAACTGACAGACGTCTCCCCACCCAAACCCCAATTGACAGACGTCTCCCCACCTAAACCTGTAACCACTGAGATCCTCCATAAACCTCCCCCTGGAGAAGTGGCTCCCAAGCCCCAACCCCCAGATACTCCAACAATCATCCAACAAGGTGAACTGTCACCTCAGCCAGTCCAGTCTAGTGAAGACACCAATGGAAGTCCAACATCAGCACAGGATACCCCTGTACCGTTGCCCCGGAAAATAAATCCGGTGAGGATTCAGTCTCAGAAGCTTCAGATAAGTACATGGGAGTCATTAACAAGGTGCTTTTAACAAGCGAGTCTTGCATTTTTTTTGCAGATTAAGAGTAAAATGCGAAGGGTGAAGACCATCTATGATTGTCAGGCGGATAACGATGATGAGCTCACTTTCGTTGAGGGTGAGGTCATCATAGTAACCGGGGAAGAGGATCCGGAGTGGTGGGTAAGTGTAACCGCTCCAAATTTCCAAGTATATGCAACAAAGCATGAGACTTGAGAAGCAACAAATTCTTCATTCGAAACGTTTGACACTTTCCAATGTTTTGATTAAATGATTTATGAAATAGTTCCCATAGTTCATGGCTATTAAATACTGTAAAGTTTGTTGACCACATAACCAAAATAAGATCAGAAGAAATGTGGTGATGTGATATGGTAAGTGAGGCACTTAATTGTAGAGATTAAAAGTAGTTCCACTAAGTGCTCGCATACTATCTAATGCCTGTGTTCTCAGGCTTTGGCGTTCTCAGCGCTGTCAAAATAAGGTCCGCCGTGCTGTCAAAATAAAAGTCACAACAACAAGCTGGCGTACGTCACTTCAGAGTTCGCACAGCCAGTAGGAATTCAGTTCAACAACTTGTTGTTGTTCAAGAGTGGAAAATTGTTCCTAAGGGAACCATTAGTTCTCGGGGAACCACCCAGGTGGCTAGTTCCTAGAACTACCCGGTATGAAAACCCCTATATTCGCTATAGGATTCTTTAAATACTTTCCCTAATGTATCTTAAACAAGAAACAGACAAAAACAACAAACTGCTTTAGGCTGTTTATTGCACCAAAAGGAAATGCAATTCTTACAGAATATGAACATACCTGGAATACAACTAAAAGTGCAAACAGTGTCTTTAAAGGTGCTGTATGTAACTTTTTCACTCTACTAAAGCATAAAAATAATATATTTTTAATATGTTTGCATATATTGAGGAAACATGCTAAGTTCACATATTCGTTTCTCTGAAAAACACTTCTACAGCCAGTTATTTTACTGCGTTTCCAGGCTGGAATGTTTCTTTTAGTTTTGGTCTGTGATACTGCATGTTGCAAATTTGCCAATTTTTATTGTCCATTGCGCTCATTCCTGTTGCGTGTCCTCAAACTGGCAACCCGTGTGAGCGCCGTCCAGTCTGAGGAGCAGGTGGCGGGAGAAATGACGATCTCAGCTATTTTGAATTTGGACTGCAGTACCTATTTTGGCCACTAGTTGTCATTCTTACAAGACTGCACCTTTAAAGGATGAAAATCTGAAAAATTACTTGACATAAACTCTTTAAATGTACATGTGCTAACCATGCTTCAAGCAGAATTGTTCTGGCCATTGAATTATTGAAAATTAATTGGTAATCCTCTGGTGTGCGTTCATCTTCAGCTATTCATCTATTTTTCCTTACTTGATTTAGAGCCACATTCTGATTTTGTAACCTTTCTTTTTTGTTTTCAGATTGGGCACATTGAGGGGCAGCCAGAGAGGAAAGGCGTATTTCCCATGTCTTTTGTTCATATCTTGTCTGATTGACACACAAACGTCGGTTCTCCACCTCCCACCCAGCGCAATACCTCTGGCTATGGGACGCACTTGACTTAGCTGCTGAATCAACAATGCAAGTTTTAAGATGGAACCACAATGAAAAACACATCACCTGACCATCGTCAGAGACAGCGTAAATAAAATGTCTAACTGTACCGCTGTTATCCGTACCGTTTTATAAAGCCTACCGCACAACGGCTAGACTGCACCCACTTAAAAGAACAGCACTTTCCCTCCACTATTACTGATACTGTATCTCTGTATATAAGATTGTACATAAATGTGTGTGTGTTTCACACAAGGATGAGTGTGTGATTTTTTTTTTTTTTTTTTTTTTGTGTAAATGTAGAAACCTGTGTTGGTCTGAAAAGTAAATGTGTGAACTTGTACTCTACCTGCCAGTATGTTACGGCTGGGGCCAGTTTTGTTCAAATAAGTTTTATTAATGTGTCCATCGTTGCTATCATCTATAGCAGGGACAGATAGAAGTCGACTTGTCTTCCTGATGGAACAACTGGACTTTACATTGGTTTTCGTTTACATGTTTTTACCTTCACATTTCCTAACACCACTAAAGCATGTCAGCGTGAAATGTTATTTTGTGTTTGCTGTTTCTTTGTTCTTGCTACCTAGTGTAAAATAATTAACCTGCATTGCATACACCATTACCTGTGTGAACAGGTTGTTTCCTCTGTGATCCCATATCAGTGTTTTATCCACGCAAGTACATTTACTACTGTCTTACTGAAGGACAGCGTTTTGTAATCCAGTGGTGTTCCACAAAGGTCACCCTTTGTCAATATTGTTTTGAAAGATCTTGGTTACTTGAAATACTTTTGAAAATAGGGAAGTTGTTAACTCAGTTTATAGATGTTATATTTAAGTGATAGACATGGATGTACTGTATTGTAATTGGAATCCATGCCATTTTCATCCATGCTGCCAGTAACCCTTCAAGAACGTTTCATTAGCTGCTCAATTTAAACAGACTGACAACCAGTTTCTGATGTGAGATGGTCAATCCAATCCTTTGAGGCAACAAATCAAGGTTCTATCATGTCAGGTTTATCCATCAATTTAAATGAGCATTGTATGAAGTTCAAGTCTGTTAGCACAGTTGCAACTTGAGTAACTTAACTCTGAAATAAAGATTAACCCCTTTTTCTGCACCTACCTAGAAAATAATGGAGGAGTTGGGTGAAGTTCTACAGGTGTAGAACATCTGGTTTTGCGGACGTGTCTACTGTCTAAACATCTTCCTCATTCCATTATCAATAAAAATGGCTTCATGTTAAACAAGACTCCAAGTCTTAAGTGTCATGTTTAACAATTATGGTCAAGTTATGACCAATTCAGATTACAGCAAATCCAAGTTGACTCAAGACCACACATACATGACAAACTGAAGTGAAAACTTAAATTTATTTGCAGTCCAGCAACAAAAATGTATGCTTTTTATCAACAGCCATACCAAACCTCATATTGGGCCTCACGTTCAGTTCAAACAACTGAATACATCAGCAACACATTTAAAAAGACTTCACTTTAAGGCAACAAAGTGTGATTCCATAAAACTATACAAAAATGCTCAAATTAAAGAACCTTTTGGCTCACATACCAGACTGCTGGTAAAGAAATTATAAAAGGGACAAAACTATCAACTTATTTTGATACAGGAGCTTTTTGTGACGTCTTTTTGGCTTGGTCCACTTTCTCCACTGATTTGATGACCCCAACAGCAACAGTCTGTTTTAAATCCCTTACAGCAAATCGACCTGATAGAAGAAAACAAAAAAGTGACTTTAAAACATGGCTTTTTTCAGCAGTATTTTGAGCACTTAAATCCAGCGCCTTACCCAGAGGTGGATAATGAAAGAAGCTCTCCACACATAGGGGTTTGTTGGGGACGAGTTTGACTGTGGCACCATCTCCTGACATCAGGTACTGGGGCCAATTCTCCAGTTTCTTCCCTGTACGCCGATCTAGCTTTTCCCTCAGCTCAGCAAAACGACAGGAAACATGGGTTGTGTGGCAGTCCAGTACAGGGGAGTAACCAACCTTGATTTTGCCTGGGTGGTTCAGCATTATGATCTGTTGAAAATGCACAAGAGAAATCACTCAATAGTTTGTCAGCCAGAGTTCAAAACAATGTCAAAACGAGCATAGCTACCTGAGCAATAAAACTGTTGACATCCATCGGAGGGTCCTGCTGTGCATTCCCTGCTACATCACCTCTCCGAAGATTTTTTACAGAGACATTTTTAATGTTGAAACCCACATTGTGGCCAGGGAGGGCAGTCTGAAGCCCCTGGTGATGCATCTCAATGGACTTGACCTCTGCAGTCAACTTCGCTGGTGAGAAGGTCAGAACCATTCCAGGCTTCAGGATCCCTGTCTCAATCTTACCCACAGGGACAGTGCCAACACCTGGGGGGCATAGCATGTGTCAAGGGTACCATCCAAAAGGATTTAAATTGAGACCTTGCCCACTTGGCAGTTTTACCCACCACCAATCTTGTAGACATCTTGTAGGGGAAGGCGCAGTGGCTTGCCCGCATTACGCACTGGAGGAAGTAGGGAATCGAGCACCTCCAACAAGGTTCGACCATTTGAATGGCCTTCTTTCCTCTTGAGCTTCCACCCTTTGAACCATGGCATCTGAAGCAGAACATACAAGCAATCAAGATCAGCAGCTCTATATCAGGGGTGCCCAGTCCTGTTCCTGGAGATCTACCAGTCTCCAAAATTCAGCTCCAACCCTGATCAATCACACCTGAACCAGCTAATGAAGATCTTCAGGAGCATGTGATAATTACAGACAGGGGTGTTGGAGCAGGGTTTGAGCTAAACTCTGCAGGTGGGTAGTAGTCCAGGAACAGGATTTAGGCACTTGTCTAGATCATGGGGTGCGTATGAGTGGCCTTACCTTCTGAGATGGGGCAATCATGTTCTCACCAATCCAGCCAGAAACAGGTATGAAAGGTACAGCACCAATCTCAAAGCCAATCTTCTTTATGAACACCGAAACATTCTTCACCACCTCATCGTAGCGTTTCTGGCTGAACGGTGGCTCGGTCAGGTCCATTTTGTTGATGCAAACCATGAGCTGTTTGACCCCGAGGGTATACGCCAGCAAAGCATGCTCTCTTGTCTGACCATTGCGAGAAATCCCAGCCTCAAATTCACCCTTTGCAGCAGAGACTATCAGTAGAGCAGCATCAGCCTAAGTAAACAGATTGCCATTTTAATCAACTTGGTTGTAGGTAATACCAGAAAAAAAACACAGATCAACATTCAAGTCAACATCTGAATAGCATCAATACCTGTGAGGTCCCTGTGATCATGTTCTTGATAAAGTCACGATGGCCAGGTGCATCAATTATGGTAAAAGTGTATTTTTGAGTGTTGAACTTCAGCAGGGAAATGTCAATTGTAATTCCACGTTCCCTTTCTGCTTTCAATTTGTCCAGCACCCAAGCATACTTGAAGGAGCTCTTTCCCATCTTCAAAAAAAATAAAAAAATAAAAAATAAAAAAAGTCTACCACCTAAACAATCATAAGCAATTCAAGTTGATAGCCTACTAACCTGGGTTGCAGCCTTCTCATACTTCTCAATAGTTCTATGGTCAATTCCTCCACATTTGTAGACAAGATGACCAGTGGTTGTGGATTTACCACTGTCCACATGGCCAATGATGACCAAGTTAATGTGGATCCTTTCTTTGCCCATACTATAGTTAAGTAATTAAAGTTTTAGACAGCAACTACAGACCTTCAAACGTATGCCTTGTTCCTAGCATGACTTCAAACCACAGGGGAGCTTATATAGTAACTAATTGGGAAGGATGATGTTGATTGAGTCCAGGTGTGATCAATAACCGCTGAAATAAAGACCACGCCCGCAATTACCTAGAATAGTCTCAAAGCTACAACTTACACTATTATAAAAATATAATATCCATAATTATCTCCCAACACAAAACACGTAGGCCTACTACAATTCTTCTTTTTTATAAATCAAAGTAAATAGTTTGTTATCTCCTTATAACTACATTCACAGTCTTTCTATCATTTCTCATCTAGCCTATTCATTTTTATTTCTTGATGGCATTGGCGGCTATAATACCAGTGCCATTTTTATTACACTATAGGTATTAAATACTGTATTTCTCATGCTTTTATTTCAGGTTAAAAATACATGAGGGCTGTAAATGTAATTAATGGCATGAAAAAAGTATATTTTAAACAAGCTACTTTGATTACCACAAATTCCTGCATTCAGATTCAAACATCCATGTTTTTTTTATTAGATGAAACCTTGCCCGGTAGTAGGCCTAGTTATAATATTTAATTTGTTGCGGGGAATTATATCAAAGTTTCAAGTATGGCTCGTCACGTGAATATGACATCATGTGTGATTGGGTGACAGAAAACTTGTTACATTTGCACAGGTTTACATAACAGGAATGAGTTCATCCGTCAGGTGTTTTGCATAAGCGTTGGCCGGCAGAGGGCGCGTGTTGAAACAACTACATTAACTTTAGTTATATTAAAAAAATCGTCGCGTCTAATGCACACGAGAATGTATACAATTTAAAGTAATGTCCTTGGTTTTCATATTATATAATGATGTGTGGTGCTTGATTCAAGCGTTTGGTTTAAAATGCAAGAACACAATGACGTTTTATTAACCCGGAAATAACAGTCGGTAAGACAGCTGAGAGCGAGAGAGGCTCAGATACAGAGAAGGAGAGAGAGAGAGAGAGATCTAAAGCCTTCTCCCTGGAGCTTATATCGTGCTACCTGGACTCCATACGTTTTCCCTCATTGCTTCAAATTCAAAGGTGCGTTTTCGTTCCTCTCTTATATCTTTATGCTGCATGTACTGCGCTTTATTGTGTATATTCATAACTCAATGTATGGGTGCTGTAGTACAGCATGTGACTGAGCGGTACGTGCTTTCAGCACGATGGCACCCGTGGCTATCCGTTGTTTGAAAGCGTATAGACAGGAACAAATGAAATATGATTGTATGACGATGTTTAAATGCATTTATGGATGGGAAAAAGTAAATCAGATTTGTGTCATACAATGCAATGCAGTGTAACTTCTGCCATGCATTGTGCAACACAGGGCTTACACTTTTCATAAGCAGAAATAGATACTATTGCTGTTCTGTTTCCATTGTAATTTGTCATGGAAAACCCTGAAATATCAGGATATTTAAAAATGTGATAGGTAAGGAAACGTCATATTTTGTTTTTACGTCAACGAATTTTATTTTGTATCTTAAAAAACACATGTAAATGTGTCACATTTTCTGGTCATGCTCATGTCTACAACATTTCTTTGGCTAGAAATGTCTCATATAAAATTATTTGTAGAAGTATTGACCAATCGTGAAAATGCATTAGTCAAAGGTCCATCTGATGCTTTTGCACAGATTCCAAGGTGTTAGGCTACTGTATATTCCAATCTAGTAGTGTTCAAGTGTAGTGCACTTAATGTCCAATGTAGGGGTCATTTATCCATGTGCATTGTGCTGTTTAATGAAAGTACTTGCAAAACATTTTGTTTCCAAACTGATTAAGATGTCAGAATTGTTTGATTGGCCTATTACAATCATTAGATTGATGTAGGCATTTACATGACAAAGTCATACTAATGTGACATTATCGAGTATTGGTGTGGCATAG